TTATTCAGCTCAGTTTAGCTCTTCATAACTTTGACTTCTGCTGTGTCTGTGTGTGTTTGTTTATGTCATTTTACTGCTCCTGGATTGGTTCTAGACTGGTAGTATTCCCTTCACACTAGTTAGCATAGAAAGACACTGTTTACTTTAGCATTAGCATTTTGTAATTTTTTTTTTACTGTATTTCAAGGAGCTTTGTTAATGTGAGTAAAATAGTAAAAACAAAAATTTAATTCCATTGATTTTGGCCCGTCAAAATGACTGCTCTGGGATTTCTTGATGTCTACGAAATCAGGGAATATCAGGTTTATGGACAATGGTTAGCCCTTTATCTTATGGACCAACCGCTATTAGCATTGGCACAAAAGTTTTTTATGGTTTTTATACAAGTACTTAACGATATAGATTAAAATGTAACTATATAGTTGAAAATGTATGAAGAAATAGGCAAGGCAATTTTATTGTGTTTAGCATATCATTAGCATATAGCTCAGTTGGTAGAGCATTGGCCTTAAGCCCAGAAGGTCGTGGGTTCAATTCCCACCTCTGCACCTTCTCCACCGACTCCCACTGATGACTGCTGTCGTTGTGTCCTTGGGCAAGACACTTAACCCCACTTTGCCTGAAGCCCCCACTGAAAGATCTCAGCTCCTGTGGACTCACCACCTGCAGGAGGATCAGTGAGGGGCTGGTGCTCTGTGTACTGGGTGCAGCTCTGACTGCCACCCCCCCAACCCAGAAATGGATTAAGGGGAAGAAAATGGATGGATGGATGGATGGAGTTAAGAAGCATCTCCTGAGTTAGCCTGGCCTTATCCATCCATACACTCCGGTCAATAATCATTTCACTGCATGTAACGTCTGGGTCTGGTCCCTGTGCTTGCAATTACATTGGTAGAATTCCATCCGACCAATCAGCGAGCGCGGGAGGCGGGTGTTGTAGTTAGTTGTGGGTGACGTCAAGAGTTTGCGCCGAACGGGCAGGTTTTAGTTTGGCAATGGCGAAGAATGCGATAGTAAATTATTCCGGTCTGGTTCTATCAAGAAATTGAAGCCGGAGCAAAAGGAATGTTTAGCAAAAGTCATTGCTGGCAATAATTGTGGCGCTACTCCCCACGGGCTCCGTTAGCGGCAAAGGAGATGGCTAGGCTAAATGCTAAATGTTAAGGACTCACTCGGGCGCATTATAAACGTCACGGTAAACTCAGGTCCAATTGTTTCAATCTGCAAAAGGAGTTAACCCCTCCCATCTGTAAACGGAGCTCATTGGAGAGCCTTCATACCTTAGTATGATGTAATTTGTACTATGGTGTGGTACGACCAGGCTACTCCTGAGTTGCTGCAGCTAAACAGTTTTTCATATGGATTTGAATATTGTCAGAGAAGATGCCTGTCTCACATTTTCAGGAAGACTCTAGCTTTTGGATTAGCTCTAGATTTTAGACAAACGCATGGATAAGAATCTTAAGTCTACTCTGAAGACATTATTTTGTTCTTATTCTATAATACAAAACTAAAGTGAATGGACTTGAGGATTGGATTTCAGTTACGTTGAGAGTCTGGGAGCAGAGACGGCAGAGGTGCTGTGCTTCCAGGTGCTATGTGCTTTGGAGTCAGAGGATATTAAAGTGGGTATTCTAAAGCCCAGCGCACTCCTGTAGGATGCTAGCAGACAATATGGGCCCCCCTGGCAGTGCGTTTTTCATTTGGAGAGTCTCGTCTGTTCTCACTCGTGTTTCAGAATCTACAGTAAGTAAGTAATGTTTATCAATATAGCGCGTTTTACAGACCAAGGTCACCCAAAGCACTTAACAATGTTCAGAAGTCTTTGTCAAAGCTTGGTCATGAGTCCCCACTCAGGGCCGCAGATATATTCATTCTATGTTATATTTTTCTATATTCATAAAAGATTTGAGTGCAAAAAGCTCTTGCATAATGCGAACTCCAACGAGCAGACGTACGGCAAGATAAGCGTTCTAAAGAGACGGACCGCAGACAGAGACCTCCAGCCCAATGTGGTGAATGCGGCAACTAGATAGACTGTATACATGAGGAGTGGACTGACCTCCTAGCTGGAGCCAATTTCCTTATATGGGTGTTTGTTCCAACGGGGTTAGCTTGTGACTATAACCGGTTAAAATGGTTGCTGGTTGCTAAGGCAAGCTGCAGTGAATGAAGGCATCTGTTTGGTCAATCCTTCCATGGGTCATATCTGGATTGACACAGACAATAACAAAAGATAAACACCAAGAACTAAACCACAGATTTTTAAGCCCAAAATGGTGAGTGTGACACAGACTGAACTTGAGGAGTTTACTTTTTCAGGAAACCACAAACTTAACCATGAAAAACGTACTGTATCTAAGAAATTTGCAAAAATATCTTTTTTTCTGAAAAGTCCCGACTGTAGGACAAATCTCTTAATGTTGAAGGTGAATATAGAGGGATTTTCTACTTACAGGTGGATCATCAAGACTATTGGCCCCCCTAATTGTCAACCGTTAGGTGATACATGCTCGTCAAAGAAAATGTTGTTCAGAAAGTGGAGAGGGCGGTTCTTTCCTAAAATTACGTAAAATCGTCCTGTATACCTTTAATCTTCATCTTCTTTGGAGATTTGAACCATGTTATCATTGCTCCATCAAGAGTTGAGAGAGAAAAAGACTCAATTGGACAAAGTTTCAAACCAAATCTGTGAATAGTGAATCGAACAGAAGAAATCAGCTTTTAGAGCAGTGAAAACATCCATAAAAAGTACAGCATGGCTAAAAAAAAAAAAACAGTCAGCGGCATGGCGCACCAGAAAGTTCGGTGGACATCAGAGATGGAGGAACAACTAGATGACCTCTGGCAACACCGTGAATGTATGTATGACGTGTCGTGTAAAGAATATCATCACCGAAATGACAAGGAGAGGAATTGAGCAGAAATTACTGCTGCACAGGTAGCGTTGGCATAAGCCCTATTCGGACGGGATTAGTACTAAATGATCAGACTGATGGGTTGTGTTTGTACGTTTACTTTGCACTCTGTCCTAATACAGTACAGGCGTGTTGATGCAGCCGTGCTTGTTGGTTTGCGCGTGTGTAAAGTTTCATGTCTAGCAGTGTGTGTGGTGCAGTCACAGGTAGTCCGTACAAACTGTATTGTTGAACAGCACAGACAGTACGGGCCAGAGAACTGCAGAGCAGTAAAATCCACATGTATGTGTTTGTCTGTGGCTGCTGTGGTCAGACGAGAGTCTCTATAGGCTGCGTGAAGCGGAGAGGCCCGCACACTCTGTTTACTCTGAAGTCACGCTTGATCTCGAGAGATGTTGTGAGATTTCCGGTGACCTGTGAATGTTCGGGGGTGAAATCGGTGTGTGTGGTTTGCGTGATTTTGCCGTGTGGCAAGTGGTTAGACCCGTTATTTTTTATCTCCGTGTGTGGGGTCTCACACGGAGAAAAAATCGGCCGACAATTTTAATATTGTCTCGTGTGAACTAGGCTTTATCGTGTCAGAGCTGCCCCCCCTGTTGAGAACTTCAACCGCAGCTAAAGACACATTTCTTTGATCTGGCTTTAAACTCAAGCTTTTCACTTTATAACTTTTATGATAGCAACCGGTATTATTGTCTTTTTTTTATCTTGACTTTTGCAAGTTTTAGAGCCACAATCCTCAAAAGGGCGCTTGTTCTCATGCCCACAGCTTTAGTAAATGAAAACTAAAAATGTAATACGTAGGAAATAATGAGTGTGGATTGTAACAGTGCCCCATCCAAGGCTCTCACAATTCAATAGACTCCTTTTTCCCAGACGCTTAAAAGGGTAGCTTTCTCATTACTACTATACTTAATGTTCCCTCCACTAAGTGTAATTTCCACTTCTGTATCACTGTAATACTTCCACTAACAAAGCTATTTCCCGTCTTGGAGGACCTCTTCCAACACAAACTAAACACGACTTTCCGTGTTTGCCTCGGACAGAATCGTGATCATTGTGCATCTCAGTTTTAAACAGCACTTTCAAATCTGAAAGTCAATGAAGGCAGTTAACACAGTTACCGGTCATGAATCATAAAATCTCGCCCCGAAGGCAGACATTTGCATAGAGCACTACCTTTGTTAATTCAATTTAAGCCGGATGTTTCCCAACCAGCTCCGATGGAAGTGTTGAGGGACCGGCGGAGAGCCTTATGGAAGCCCTCGCCTTTCTCGGATATGTTTTATGGCAAAGCTTTCAAACGGTAAAAGCAAAGACAGTGTAATGTGTGTGAAAGATGTTTTAATTGGTGATAAAATCGCCGTTTTCAATATTTTAAAGAAGCAGGTTTAACATAATAATTGATCTGAGATTGCGCTGGTGTCTTCTGTGTGAATAGCTTTGCATATATTTGTGAACGCAGAGGTCTGGGAGCAGGGGCCAGGCCAGTTCTGTAAAGTCCTGTGTGTTTAAGGTGATGGAAATGTGAGCAGAAAGAAGATTATTTCAAGTGGGAGTCGAATGTAGAAACAGTAGTAGTAGTAGTAGTAGTAGTAGTAGTAGTAGTAGTAGTAACATTGGAATAATAAAAGCAGAAGTGGTAGTAGTAGTGGATTTCTTTCCACTTTCTCCTTCTGGGTCTGGGTCAGGACTCCAGAGCTCAAGTCAGAGTAAAAACACAAGATGCCACCGTGCAGACTACTGTTCATTAAGGCAGAAGATTATACCTATTGGACTTACACAGACATGAGGAGAACATGCAAACTCCACTCAAAAATGCGATTCAAACCTAGGACCTCACTCCTTGTACTAGCTACAGATGTCTGGCATACATCCGCAAAAACCCGTCTTTCTTCATACCAAATTAGAAACACTATGTCTTTTCATTACAAACTTGGATCTTACACAATGTCCTCTCCCACTTCTACTCCCATACTTTTTGCTCTTTGATTACCACCCCTCATGCTTCACCAAACTGCTATAGCCTTCGAGAAAGACCCAAGACCAACCATTGACCACTCCTTAGTCATCACGCTGCTGCTACACATCTCGAATGTCTTTTCCCACATCTACACACTCTGTTAGATTGTCATTTTCCTCCTCGATCCAGTTTCGGCGACATTCTGAATCCAGCCTTGAGCCGTACGCCATGTGCCAGACTGACGACGACAACACCATTCCTCGACTCTCAATGGGCAAAATATGAAAGAAAATATGTTTGAATGTGATATTTGAGGTGTACAAGGCTTCTCTCCGTCTCTCTGTTGTCCTCAGTGTTTAGCTCACAAGGTTATTACATCGCATTGTTGTCGTTCGTATGCCTGAATAAGAAATTTCGTAAGGGCGATAATTACAGCACTTTGAAGTGGGCGAAACTATGAGGGAGAAGGACATGGAACTTTACTTGAATAGACTCGTCCATCACCAGAACAAATGCCATTGAGTCGCTGTGCTCTGGAATTAGATTATCGCAGTAACCCGACAGAACAGATCGGCGAAGTTGAGGGACGAAAGAGAAAAAAGGCTTTCTCTTGAACATTATCTTTTGTGTCAGTGGATATTTGTTCCTTTTTCTGCTGCATATTTATTTCCCTGAATCTTCAGGCCAAAATGAGATAAAACACTGTTGGTTTGGATTGAACAAAAATGAATCCGAAGCGAAATAGGGTTTTAATTATGGACTGAAACATGTAGAAAAGATTAAACTATTACAAAAACTAAAATTGCTCTGCTGGTTCGAGGATCTACTGTATATGTCGAAAGGACTCGATTTCCAAAACCAATCAACCAATTCATTCTTGCATAGCCCTAAATCACAACTGTAGTTATCTTTGAGGACTTTACCAAACCGTTAAATTTTCCAACACAGATCAGAGAATCAAACAGTTCAAACACAAGAAATACAATGAAAAATAAAAACACATTGAGACATTGGTAATTAAGGGGCAGAGAAGTGTCCTGGATCATCACCACTACATAAATTAGCCTTGTCTTTCTCCTCCAGCTTTATGCTAACGCTGGCTTTGGAGTTTGGGGAAGAAGGCCCCGTGATTGGTCAGTTATTGCTGTTCTTTGTGATTTACATCTGCAACAAAGGGACCTGATTGTTCAGGGAAAAGTCAATTGCAATCAGGCTCAATAGAACAAATGTACCCTTTTCCTTTTGGAACGTGCTTGCTAGCTGTGTCTATTTATTTAGTCTATAAAATGGGTAGCACGGTGGCGCAGTGGTTAGCGCTTGTGCCTCACAGCGAGAAGGTCCTGGCTTCAATTCCACCTCCAGGCCTTTCTGCGTGTAAAAGAGGCCAGAAAAAGTGAAAAGAAGGTACACATTTTTGAAGAACAACCTTTACGATTTTAAAAAGAGGAAAAAGGGCTCTCTCCATGAAGTCATATTGTATGTATTTGTCATATATTCAAAGTTCTGCAGTCTTGGTTCTTCTATCTGACTGTCTCTCAATGTGGGCCTCCCCAAGTTTTCTCAAAGGTTTTCCCACTGGGTTTTTGAGTGGTTCCTCTCTGGTGCAAGAGGGTCTAAAGCCTGGTTCACACGAGACGATTTTAAAATTGTCGCCCGATTTTTCTCTGTGTGAGACCTCACACAGGGAGATAAAAAATCACGGGTCTAACCACTTTGGTCGTACAGTGTGTGGTGCGCAGCCACACGGCAAAAATCACGCAAACCACACACGAACCGATTCACCCCCCCGCGAGTATTCACAGATCAGACGGAAATCTCAGGTCTCGCGAGATCAAGCGTGACTTCAGAGTAAACACACATGGCGGACGAAGACGTTGCATTGGCGATAGTTTGTTTTTATCGGAGAAAAGACGTAATCAAAAGAAAAGGCGATGGTCAAAGAAGTGTAGACAACACGAGCATGGACTTTACTTGCTACATTGTGATATGGAGGCGTTTCCTCACCGCCTCGTCTCGTCTTCTGATTGGCTACACGCCGCAGTCATGGCAACGCGCACGTCTGTCCTCGGGGGACACCACACACAAAGAGAAATCGGGCCAAAACAATCCAACATGTTGGATATCCCCGATTTGAGATCGGGAGCAGTCCCGATGTCCTTCCGAGCAACGAGTGCAGTCTTAACACACCACACACGGCAGGAGAATCTGTAAGATTTTGTTACGGAAATCGGAGCGTTTCTTAAGATTGTCGTAAGGGGTAAATCGGGTCTAAATCGGCCTAAATATCCTGCCGTGTGAACCAGGCTTAAGGACAGTGATTACCCGGGACATTAACTCACATTTATTGACTCATTAGTTATGGAAAGAGGTCGTCCCGCTCCCTATGGACCAATGGCTTCTATGTGTTTGTTATCATTGCATTTCCTGTGTTCGGACGGTTTGATTCTCTGATTGACAGCTTGTAATGGAATTGAGACACAGATGTTCAAGTTAACAGCTTGCATGGAGCTAAAAATGATTCGGTTTGTCTTTGAGCAAGGAACAACAATGTAACTTTGTATAACTCTCAAACAAAGCGAGACATAATGCATTTTCTAAACTAAATATCAGTTTGAAAGTGCTGCATCATTGACTCGTGTCCCATTCGCACAGTTTTAAAGTAAAACAAAGTATGAGATTTCTCCTTTGAAAGTTCCATTAGCATGGTATCGTCAGCGGCTGTATTAGCATTGCCTGTGAAGCCGAGTGTGGTTCTATTTTGCCGTCGTCGCGGTGGCGGGAGATGGCTCAAAAGTCTCTCTGGGGGTGACGACGGGGGGGGGGGGGGAGGGTGAGGGAGGGGGGGTCCAGACTTTACGCGACCGGAGTAATCAAGTGTGAAGGTTATGTGAGGAGCAAACAGTCATTAACCTCCCAAACAGAGGCCATGTACGCGCCGGCTCCGTGCGGAGGAGAGAGCGAGCAAATGAGAACAGACAAAAAGGATGCGGAATGCCGTCGTCGTCTTTGATGTGAGTCGAGGAGAGTTGTGTCTGAGGTTGACTTTGCAAACTCCATTAGCTTTTGAAGAGAGATGTTGTCCACGTTTTGGAATTGTCGATGTGTGTGTTTGCATTTTAAACACGGCCCTCTCATCAAAAATCTAGCTATTTAGGAATGATTAGGGATTTCCAATATATTTCTTGCCTCAAATCTGTTTAATTCAATCTATTTTGTATAGCTAAATGTATCGTTTGTTAGTATAGCTATCTCAGAGGACTGTACAGTGTTGTTGATTCGCCTACACAGATTAGAAAACAGTTCAAACACAGGAAATGCAATGATAGGGGCAGATGACCAATGTCCATAAATGTTAATATGTGTCCAAAATTAGTACCTCAATCACATACATAGCTAAGCCCTGTTTCTACCAGCCCTACTTGGCTCTGCTCTACTATGCTCTACCCTGAATCTGAATGGGAGTGTTATCCACTGTTTAACCAGTACCAGGTTCTTCTTTAGTCCCTTTTGGCCCTGGTTCTATCCAAGCCAAGCTGGTACTAAAGTTTGCTGCTGGAAGCTGCGAATACCAGGGAATTTGCATGGATCTTGGTTTGTTTTGAGTTGATTAGATGAGGTGTCGAACACTAAAGCATCCAGGATTCAAAGGATTTTCAACTTGATGGAATTTTATATTTTGAGCCGATACGATTCAGAATAGACAAGTATAAAGTCGTCATAATTCTAGAGGTTCTGATCTTTACAACAAGATATTGGCAGAGCTGAAGTTGGCTGGATGACATTATGAACTTGTATCTGTGATCTCAAAGACTACTTAAGCAAAGCATAGGGCCACATACAATACCACAAAGGGCCGCAAGTGGCATGTGGGCCTTAGTTTGCACATGCCTTACGAAAGATCTTTAGTGAGGGAATCGATAAAGAATCACACTTTCAGGTATCAAACCAAAAAGCGTCAAACATCAAATATTTTCCTATATCTGGATAATGGAGAAATTTACTTGTTGTATTTGGCTTTCACCCGGAGTCTGCAAATAGACAGGAAATCTGCAACCCGTTCAAATGTATCAAGTGTAAATAATTCAACTTTCCTTCTTCTCTGGCTCCGTTACCACCGACACCATAATTACTCGGATACATCTCCACGTGTTTCTTGGCTCGTCCGTCTTCGTTTGTAGACTCTGCCAGCCAGGTAGCCGTCCTGCTCATCTCACTTTCCCAGAATTCCCATATGGTCAGTGGTGTGTGGCCTTTTGCCAGGCCGTACCGTGCCGTGCCATCTGCTGCAGCCGGGGCCAGACTGGCATAAGGAACACAGCGGCGGGATGAGGGCACCAGACCGCGAGGGTTGCTACCACGGGGCAAGCATCCAAAAACCTGGTGAACTATGCAGCAGTGAAGCCTAAACGAGCGAGTGATGGAGAGAGCGTTGGGCAAAGGCTATGGGAGGATGGAAGCAAGAGAAGGGGTTCAGGTTTTTCTTGAAAGTCCTTTAGAAACCACATTTTACAAGAATAGATTCTAATTTATTGTCTCTCATTGTAGACATTTGCTATATGCTTTACACAGACAGCACAGACTGAATCCCAGTAAGAACAGGGCCTTTATGAGTGGAGATTGCATGTTCTCCGGTTTCCTCTGGGTGCTCCGGGTTTCCCTTCCACTAAAAACATCCACTATAAGTAAATCTTCCTGCACCGGTAGTACTGACCACACCGAGCCTCAACATTTTGAGATGGTTCCCATATTTTTGATTAATCAGTTTGAAAAAAAAAACCGAATCATTGGGGCAATTTCTAAGAAGTAGTTTCATAATTGTGGGAGTCCTCGTGTTTAAAACAGTAAGTACGTATCAATATCTACTTACTTACTACTATAAATACTACTTACTTACTGACAGCAGCAGAGCGGAAAGACCAGCCAAAGATCTACTTCATACAGCTAGGGTGGATCAGTCTGTCACTAAAGCTGCCCAGAAAAGCGTGGATTGTTATTAGATGTAGTGGTTCTGTTTGCACCCCTTTTTATTACACCACTTTATTATTACATGTATTTATTGGTTGGTAGCTATGTCTGTTCTTTCTTGTGATACTTGGCTTGTCTTAGATAAACAAGACATTTTTGATTGTCCCAAGGGCCTAGCTGGTTGTAAGACACAAAATGTACTAATACAGAGATAATCTTACCCATTTTATGTTTATTCTTATAGCAGTGGTACTACGATTGAATAAAAGGATTCCCACTCCCCTCTCAGAAATTCAAAAACGTTACAATTACTATGTGCTGCTGTAGTCTATTACAAAGCCTACTTTCTCAAACAAAAAAATATGGAACTCAAACGCAAGGAAAAGCTTAAGTCTTGACATGGATTGCACCAAACTCTCAGCCTCGTAGTACCACACACAGCCACAGGGGGGAGCTGATCCAGATCTTGATCCAGCCGGCTTTTGGGCTGCGTTTGTTGGGCGTGTGGGGGAAGGTTTCCGGTATTTATAGGATTTGTTGGTTTTGGTCGGGGTGGGAGGAGGGAGCTCAGACGACTTGAACTTGAGAGGCCCCCTGCTGAGAGACCGTGTTTCAAACTAAATCAATGGAATGTCAAGCGAATTGCGGAGAGAGACGGAGGAGGCGGCTGCGGACATGCGAGACGAACCTGGGTGGAATAAAGATGAATAGAATCTTTCTTGTGTCGAACGGGATCTAGGCGTGTGTTTCAAATGTGTTTTTCAGGCGTAAGTAAGGTTCAAAGTCAAACTTAGGCAAGGTTATTTCAGACGCAGCCTCAGAGTCCCAGCAGGAGGCCAGTCCCTGTGCTCCTCGGAATCACCAGCAGGAGGCCAGTCCCTGTGCTCCTCGGAATCACCAGCAGGAGGTCAGTCCCTGTGCTCCTCAGAGTCCGAGTTGATTCGTCACTTACATGTCACAGATGTACATCAAGTTTCAGCACATTCAGAAAGTATTCAACCTGCTTAACGTTTTTCTATTTCAGGATGGACCAATCAGAACATAGATTCATTCATGTTATGTCTTGAGGGTCATTTAGAGCCTTTTAGAAAACTTTTAGTAGGCTGTCATGAACTTTTACCGAGGAGATCCTTTGTCTGGTCACTCTCCAAAAATACCTGTTTCGTGACACTGATAGTTGTCCTTCTGGAAGTTTCTCCCATTTGCCATTTGTCATAAGCTCTATGTGACCATTGGGATCTTGGTCGCCTCTCTGACCAAGGACCTGGGAAGAGTTCTGCTGATTTGGCACTTTTTTTCCATTTTAAAGATGGACGCCACTGTGCTCTTTGGGACTTTAAATGTTGCTCCAATGTTTTGTATTCTTCCACAGATCTGACAAATGGTTCCTCATGGCTCAGTCTTAAGGTCTATAGATAGTTCCTTAGACCTCTTGGCTTAGTCTTAAGGTCTATAGTTCCTTAGACCTCTTGGCTTAGTCTTAAGGTCTATAGATAGTTCCTTAGACCACTTGGCTTAGTCTTAAGGTCTATAGATAGTTCCTTAGACCTCTTGGCTTAGTCTTAAGGTCTATAGATAGTTCCTTAGACCTCTTGGCTTAGTCTTAAGGTCTATAGTTCCTTAGACCTCTTGGCTTAGTCTTAAGGTCTATAGATAGTTTCTTAGACCACTTGGCTTAGTCTTAAGGTCTATAGATAGTTCCTTAGACATCTTGGCTTAGTCTTAAGGTCTATAGTTCCTTAGACCTCTTGGCTTAGTCTTAAGGTCTATAGATAGTTTCTTAGACCACTTGGCTTAGTCTTAAGGTCTATAGATAGTTCCTTAGACATCTTGGCTTAGTCTTAAGGTCTATAGTTCCTTAGACCTCTTGGCTTAGTCTTAAGGTCTATAGATAGTTTCTTAGACCAATTGGCTTTGTCTTAAGGTCTATAGATAGTTCCTTAGACCTCTTGGCTTAGTCTTACGGTCTACAGATAGTTCCTTAGACCTCTTGGTTTCTTCTCTGACATCCCAGTGTTGTGAGTAAACTGAAAAGAAATTATAAGATAATGAAAATTATGTGAAGTCCTGTGGATTCAGAAGTGCTGTTTCTTTACATCTTTCTTACATCCTTTAATTTTATTTTTTTTAGTTATTGATATAAAATAGTCCTCTATCTCTGGTTATGTTTCAGGCTCCACATGTTGTCCTAATTCAGAAAAGCTGAAGCTCTCAGAGTTAGCAATATTGTCTAATTGAACAAGCTTCCCAGCCCCAGCCTCAGCCTCCCAGTGCGTGTGTGTGTGTGTGTGTGTGTGTGAGTGTGTGTGTTTGTGTGTTTTGTATGTATGACACTAGAGGGCAGGGGGGGGCGTTCCTCTTCATTAGCCACACTGGGGAGCCATGCCAGCTGCACAGATGGCACATGGGAGGAGGCCACACAAACACACACACGTTATTTTTGTATTATTGTCTCACACGGTTAAAAGCCATTCAGATCAGCAGAGGAGAGATCAGCCCAGGACGGGACCCATATATTTTGCTCAGTATTTATTGTATTGTTATTTATTTTGAACTGATTGTCATCTCATTTACCCTTTAATTAGATTTATTCAGAGATTTCTGTGCATTGTTGGCTTTTCTACATCGAGCAACTCACTTCCTGGTTCCACAAATCTAGTATCTCTCCGGTCTCACTCCCAGATCTCTATGTTCTCTCTCTTTCTAGTCACTCCCTCTAGTCTCTCTCTGGTCTCTCTCTGGTCCCTCTCTCTGGACTCTCTCTGTGGTCTCTTTTCTGATCCCTTTCTGATCTCACTCTGGTCTTTCTCTGCTCTCTCTCCAGTTTCTTTTTGATCTCTCTCTCCGGTCACCTGTCTGTTTTCTCTCTCTGGTCTCTCTCTCATGTCTCTCTCTCTGGTCTCTCTGATGTCTCTGTCTCGGGTCTCTCTCTCCGGTATCTCTCTCAAGTCTCTCTCTCTAGTCTCTCTCTGGTCTCTCTCTCTGGTCTCTCTCTGGTCACTTGCCTGATTTCTGACAGCATTGCACCTGCCCCGAACCACAAAACATTTGAAATGATCAGCTTTAATCTGCTTTTCTGGAGTAACAGACACAGATCTAAAACTGCCATATCCAGTCGTCCCCTTTAATGTGTCCTGATGTAAAAACACCAGACAAACTCCTTCACCTCCGCAAATCAGCCCCGGCCTCCTCATCACCGCCCACGCTGTCCCAGTTTTGTGGCACAAACGCTGACGAGGCATCTATTCCTTGCTGCCATTTCACCTTCTCTCCCCCCTCTCTTCCCTCTTCCCCCTCCACCTTCCCATGCAATTTTAACAATGGCTTTTTCCGACCGGGCCGCCAGCATCTCCTGGTCTTTGTGTGTATTTAAAAATATATACAGTATATATAGAGAGAGAGAGACTGCGTGCCCTCCTCCCGATGGCCCAATTAAAAACTTGAGTCATGGGTGATGTTTTTGCACCTATAGTAAAGGTTGCACATTTTTTTGTGTTTTTCCCCCTTTGAGCTACTGCGTATAGAGTAGAGACTGTAGAGCAGACCTGGGTCAAGTTTCTCTATGGACCCTAACCCTTTACAGCTGTTTACCTCATGTCTTACTATTTAAATGAATGGGAGTGTGTGTAGCGGTGTGTGTAGCTTGATGTAGTAGCACCATGGGGACAAAACTTTACAATTGTCAAAAACTATCTGTATCTCAGCCGTCCATTCTAAGGCTTCTTTATCTCTGGTTTAGTTTTGGTTAAATCCAAATAATATTTTGGTAATTGTGACAAAACAAATCAAAGTTATCCAACATTTTGGTCCCTCCGTTTGGTTTACTCTCTTTGGTCTCTCTCCCTGGTCTCTCTGTCTGGTGTCTCTTTGATTTCTTTCTGGTCTCTCTCTGGTCTCAGTGTATCCACAGCTTCGACAGCTCCAGCAGCACTCAGACCTACAACCAACAGGTTTGATGTTTCTAGTTTCTGTCACTTCAGCAGTCTCTAGTCTCTCTCTGGTCTCTCTCTAGTCTCTGTCTTGTCTCTCTCACTAGTCTCTCTCTCTCTCTCTCTCTCTGGTGTCTCTCTAGTCTCTCTCTCTCTCTCTCTCTCTCTCTGGCCTCTCTCTAGTCTCTCTCCGTGAAAGGCAGTTACTTTCTGTTAAAGGCAGTAGAAAACCCGGAGAGATTTGAGGGATCGAACCCAGGACCTTCTTAGTTTTACATTAACAAGAATCACTTGTAAAGCTGGTCCTCCCTCTCGCCGTAGCCGCCATATGAATAAAAACATACTTTGAACAGTTTAAACATGAATTCTCCTCGATGCCCCACTGAAACCCACTCATGCATCCCCACTTTCACACCGGCCAAGTCTGATCTCCAGCTATTCCCAAACGTCCCCTTTAACTGTGTTATTATTGGCAGGTGTTTAGCGCAGGAGGAGAACAATGCAGAAGCCGTTTAGCTAGCAGCACGTAACTCCGTGGCGCTCGGTGTGTTGGCTCTGATAGGCGGTCTCCCAGATGGGCCCTCAGCGTGGGGCCGTCCCGGGTCCATCACCTGCTGGAGGAATGCTAATCGCCAGCGTAAATACATCTGGAAGCATCTGCCTGTAGCTTTTGACTGCAGAGGCCCGGGTCGGGTCTGTATTCAACCTGAGGCCCGCGGACCCTCTCAGGCCTGGGTCCGCGTGTTTGGACCCGCCTCCACTGGTCCAAACACAAGCTGAAGCTAGCATGTGTGCGTTCATTAGCAGAATCCCAGCTGTGTCTTTATGAATAGTTAAAAAGTGTTGTGATTAAGGTTTGTAATGGAAAGGAGAGAAAAACATGCAAATACGTTATTTTAATGATTGATGTCACGCTGGTTCTGTTTCTCTGAGAGGAAAATCTGCTTCGCTCATTTGGACTCAGGTGTGAAGAGAGAGGACTGCTGTAAAATCCACATGGTGTTTCTCATCTAGTCACTTTTATGGTTTCAAACTGGATTTGTATTGGCTTTGAGTGCAGGCTGTCGGTTTGTCACTTTGCTAAGAGCGTTTTCCAGTTTCACCTTGTTTGTCAAAAGGTGGTTGATGGTTTATGGACTTCAAACAGAATATAAAGAAAACACACAACTCAGTTTGGATGACATCGTGTTGATAGCTAGGGGAGAGAGGTAGGGAAAAAAACAGTTCTGAAGTCTCTATCTGGTCCGTCTCTATTCGCTCCCTGGTCTCTCTTTCAGTACAATTTCTTTCTAGTGCCTCTCGCTGGTCCCTCTCTTTTCTCTCTCTGGTCTCTCCCTCTCTCTCTTTCTGGTCTCTCTTTCTGTCTCTGGTCTCTCTTTCTAGTCTCTCTCTGGTCTCTCTTTCTAGAGTCCCCGGTCTCTCTCTGGTCTCTCTTTCTGTCTCTGGTCTCTCTTTCTAGTCTCTTTCTGGTCTCTCTGGTCACTCGTATAATTAAAAGTACAATCTCATAAAGAAATCCATAGAAATCAAGACACACGCTCTATACAGCACTAGCCCAATAGCTATCGTCACCCTTTGAAAATATTTTTCTTTTCCCGTTGTTTGCTGTACTCAGGTCTCTCTCTCTCTCTCTCTCTCATCTCCTTCTAGTCTCTCTCCCTTTTCTCTATTTTGTCTCTCTCTCTTTTCTCTCTCTGGTCTCGCTCTAGTCCCTCACTCTGATCCCTCTTCTCTAGTCCCTCTTTTCTCTCCCTTTTCTCTCTCTCCGGTCTCTCTTTAGTCTCTCTCTCTGGTCCCTCTCTCTAGTCTCTCTCTGGTCCATTTCTTTAGTCTCTCTTTTATCTTTAGTCGCTCTCTCTAGTCCATCTCTCTAGTTTCTCTGGTCTCTCTCCCCGGTGTCGCTCTCTGGTCTCGCTCTCTCTCTGGTCTCTCTTTCTCTGGTCTCTCCCTCTGGTCTCGCTCTCTCTCTGGTCCCTTTCTTTAGTCTCTCTTTTCTCTTTAGTCTCTCTCTCTGGTCCCTCTCTCTAGTCTCTCTCTGTTCCCTCTCTCTAGTCTCTCTCTGATCTCTCTGTTCCCTCTCTCTTGTCTCTCTCTCTAGTCTCTCTCTCTCTGTTACCTCTCTGTAGTCTCTTTCTGGCCCCTCTCTCAAGTCTCTCTCTTTTCTCTCTCTAGTTTCTCTCTCTCGCTTCCCCGCTGTCATCTGCACTCAGCTGTGATCTCGTCAAAGTCCTACCAGTGATTGTTGACCACTCGACCTCCTCGCAGTCGCTCACTCTCACAAACAAACGTGGTGGAGATTTTGAGCGAGTTTGACGGTTCGACGAGTCCTCCGTCCGGATGTGGCACCGCGGTCACTCGCCTCAAGCCTTTCGCTGCCCCCTGCTGTATGGGAGAGGGTGGGGCCGCTGTACTAAACCCTGGCCTCTGCTCCGGAGCCCTGTGATCAGACACATCGCGCAGCTCTGGAAGAAGTGAAGTTGTTAGCTGAGAAAGAGACGGGAGAGAGGGGGGAGGGAGGGACAGGAGAGAGGGGTAGAGACAGAAAAGTGGAAAGGAGAGGTGGGTGAGAGACAGGGGAAAAGGAGAGAGAGGGGGAGAGAAAGAGAGACAGGAGAGAGGGAGAGATAGAAGAGAGAGGAGGAGAGACAGAGATACAGATGGAAGAGAGGGACAGAGAGAGAGAGAGAGAGAGGGGGAGAGACAGAGAAAAGATAGAGGGGGAGAGACAGGAGAGAGAGAAGGGGGGACAGGAGATAAAGAAAAGAGAGAGAGAGGAGGGAGAGACAGGAGAGAGAGACAGAGAGAAGATAGAGGGAGAGAGACAGGAGAGAGAGGAGAGAGGGAGATAGAGAGAGATAGACTCATAGAATGAATCTGGTGTGTGTGTGAATGGTTGGTGGTGGTCGGAGGGGCCGATGGCACAGACTGGTTGCCTCGCTTCTGTCAGTGTGTCCCAGGGCAGCTGTGGCTACAGTAGTAGTTTATCACCACTGTGTATGGAGTGAATTAATAATGACATGTAAAGAGTCTTTGAGTGTCCAAAAAAGCACTATATAAAACCGTTTTGTTTTTTCTGTCTAACCCCAAACCTTTGTTAAATGCATTGAGGATGTACTAAAGTCCCGTTCGTTAACATTGTTTGCAAACCCCGACAGCCACAGATCGCTGAAGCAGAGCAGGTAATTATGGAGCCAGCTCCCAACATCACATCCCTTGTTTGTGGAGCTCTGGCCGATGGGTCGATGGCTATTTTTACACCCAGACGAGAGACTCAGGAGCTGGGGAGGGGTTGAGGACCAGGAGGGGCTGAGGACCACGATGGGGTTGAACGAACATCACCAAATTATGCCATGACTCAGTTTGTGTGAGTCTTCAGTCATGGAGATAGAGGGATAGATACTGTACCTTTGCTGGTCCCTGTTGGAGAAATGTATCTGGTAAATGCTGAGGTTTTTTTTTTTTTTTTTTTGCAAATGTATTCCAATATGTTTTTTTTTTCTTCAAATGAGAAAATGAGTCCAGAAGCAATAATACATGTTCCATACAAACATAAACAAATACATATATACATTATGTCAATATAAGCGATATATTGCTTGAATCAAGTGTTAATTTGAGCATGTTCTGACAAATTCTCCAATGAGACAACTCCATTTAGTGTTATTTAAATTTTTTTTTATCTTTTTTTTAAAACAAGATTCAATTTACTTTGTCCCATTCATCCCCTCAGTCAGAATGCTCTTAAATTAACATACATTTTGCCAAATCTGAGAATTTTTGTATTATTTTACATCACTTTTTGACGTGTAAATATGACGACCTAATTCTGCCTGTAATGGTGCTTTCAGACCGGATCATGCGTTGCGTCGGGTTTCAATGCAAAGTCTATGGTGACGCGCGTTCGACCGTAACAACGCACGGACCTCTCGGCACGCACGAACGGACTGTTCAATAATGACGCACGGACTTGGCGGGAAAGTGAAAAGGGAGGAGCACGAGCAAAAAATCAACGCCCACAGGTGATGGATTCTGCTCATCCTTTCCTTGGAAAGGATGAGCAGAATCGTGTGACAACCAATCAGAGAGCAGCAAAGTGGTCACGGGGACATTAGCGGACTGAGCGAGCAGACTGAAAATACTCGTAAACAGCCAAAACAGGACCCACACCAGGCTTCACCAGAACTCAAACCAGGGTTAAAAATGGGGGACTGTGTGCTTGTGAAAATATGCGTTGTCATGCTCCCGTGACCTTATGCAACGGCTTTGAGTGTGTTCGCCGATGCGGAAATACCGTTTAATAATATGAAAAAACGTATGCTGCACCTCCGTGAACACATACTACTGTTATATAAAACCCATGGAATGTCTGTGAGCAAAGACACGCTACAAAGCTGCATATTGGAGAAGATCTGTACACAAGAAGCCGCTAGCATAGCTCTGTTAGCATTAGAGCCGACCGGCTACTTCCGGTACTTCCGGCTCGCGTCAGGACGTTCTGGTGTGAAGTCCTCTGCGTCTGAAAACTAGAGAATGCGCGTCTTGTGAGCGGGGCTTCAGCGTTTCAGCGTTGGCGGTCTGAAAGCCCCATTAGTGGGAGGAACTTATTTAATTTTAAAAGTCATTAAAGGAGCAGAATGAAAACATCTGGCCAAAAAAGGTAGTGCAACCTCTCCCACTACTTTTGGTAGATGAGGGCCCTTTAATATTGACTTGACATCCAAATCTTAGATATTGCTACTAGAGATCATTTAAGAACTAGCTACCAGAAAATCACTCACCTTTCAGGTGAATTTAAACCCATGTTTAATCCTGACCCTCGACTAAAATGAGTTTAACCCTGCAGTAGTCAGGTAGATCAATCCAATTTATATGATAAAAAATAACAATACGAATATGTTTTCTTAAATTGATAGTATGTAACTCTAAACTAATTAAAAAATTTAAGAATTGTATTAAATTGACCTCCTGGCCTTAAATGTTGATATAAAATAAGTCATTTTATGAATTCTAATATTACGGGTAAATCCCGCCTTCCCTTCTCTTAGCTATAGCTCAAAATCCACGATGCCGTCCACGTTATCCAATCAAGTGATGCCAAGGGCTGTCAATCATCGCGCTGATGCTCGTAGCTGCTCATGCTCAGTTGTTTGTTTTCGCGGAACCTCCGAATCAAGCGTCTATTAGTGATATTGGAATGTAACTTAAGTTATCATTTTGGTAAATCATATGTGGCTATGTGCTGAATGCTCTGTATTGTAATTCACTTTAGCTCCAGCAAGACACCGGGAGGTCTGGGGAGCTCATATGCTAAGTGTCTTTTGTTGTGTTGGTTTCTTCCTTTCCCATCTGCATACGAAGGTGTGTCTTGTTCTACCAAAAGGGGCTTGCAGACTGTGAATCTTCAGACTTGTCCTGAGAGAGGCTAGGGTCTGTGCCTTTCCTCTGTCAAGACATTCTCCTTGTGACAATGTAACAAGTAAAAGATTAACTTTGTCTCTTTGTTGTGTGAGATTTCATCAGGTTCAACTGTGGTTGAAACAGCATTATCACTTAGGCTCTGGAACTACATGAAAACTGAACAAAGAATTCTGGACATCCGCGCTGAGTTACTCATGTATATACTGAACCTATATCCATAATCATTTATATACTGAACCTATATCCATAATCATTTATATACTGAACCTATATCCATAATCATTTATATACTGAACCTATATCCATAATAATTTATATACTGAGCCTATATCCATAATCATTTATATACTGAACCTATATCCATAATCATTTATATACTGAACCTATATCCATAATCATTTATATACTGAACCTATATCCATAATCATTTATATACTGAACCTATATCCATAATCATTTATATACTGAACCTATATCCATAATCATTTATATACTGAACCTATATCCATAATCATTTATATACTGAACCTATATCCATAATCATTTATATACTGAACCTATATCCATAATCATTTATATACTGAACCTATATCCATAATCATTTATATACTCAACCTATATCCATAATCATTTATATACTCAACCTATATCCATAATCATTTATATACTGAACCTATATCCATAATCAGATCCTCTGCAGGTGTGTCCTATAATGTTCAATTCATGATAACAGCTACTTCCGGGTTTACCGCGATCGCTTTTTTTGTGCATTAAAACATTATTTTTGTCATGAAAACATGAACAGATAATTTTGAAAACCTCTGCATGTGCATTAATAATGTATATGTATAATGTGTTCTCCAATTAACATTTAAAAGTGTTGATTGATTGTTACGGAGACGTAGACGTAGAGCAATCAGAAAGGAAGGGGAGGGAGCTTGGGTCGCTTTTTTCAAATCATGTACCGCTCTCTCTTCTGGGCACTCAAGGTCGTCTTACAAAAAGTCTGAATAGGTGTTTTTAAGCATTGACATTTCATAGTTTTCTCATGAGCTGATTTAATGAACTAGCGCCTTGTTGGATCTGGTCTTTCCCCCCATGGCTTGCTCGGTTCCTGTCTGTAACCGTGGTCTTCTCACTCAGCGTTTTATGTCCTGGTCGTTCAGACGTGACGCTCTCAGCTGCTGCCAAAACCGGGTCACAATGTGAAATAAAAGGAGGCGGCGAGACGGCAGCAGGTGCAACACGTGTTTTCAAAGCCGATCCATCTCCGTGAGGTCGAGTCCGACAGTGGAGAGATCTGGGCGAGAAGCCAGTTTTAAATGTGCCACCTGCCAGAGAGTGGACTCCAGTGACCGGGACCAGGACAGAGAGCAGCTGGACCTGGGCAGAGAGCACACTATCTTTCCGGTCTTTCTGTGGTCTCTCTCAAAATTCTCTTGAGGCTCTCTGTCTCTGATCTCTCCCCAGCCTCTCTCTCTAGTCTCTCTCTCTGGTTTCTTGAGAATCTCTTTCTTGTCTCTAAGTTGTGTCTCTCGGGTCTCTCTCTGTGGTTTCTCTCTCTGGTCTCACTTTGGTCTCTCTCTATGGACACTCTCTAGTCTAACTATCTTGTATCTCCGGTGTCTCTGTAGTCCCTCTCTCTGGACTCTCTTTTTGGTCTCTACATCTCTCTGGTCTCTCTTTGGTCTCTCTCTATAGTCTCTCTAGCATCTTACTGGTCTCTCTTGCTGGTCTCTCTCTGGTCTCTGTCTGGTCTCTCTCTATGGTCTCTCTGGCATCTCTCTGGTCTCTCTAGTATCTTGTCTCTGTCTGGTCTCTCTATCATCTTACTGGTCTCTCTCACTGGTCTCTCTCTCTGGTCTCTCTTTTAAATCCGCCTGACAGACTCCTGAGCAGACCTGTTTAATAACCTTTTTAGATAAGTTTATCCACAAAATAGTAGCTAAATATTAGTATCTGTGTGTGTCCTTATCCTTGACCATTCCAATGAGAATTAATCAAAGAGAAGAGTTAGACCAATGGAGAGAGATCTCACCTTTGAATCAATGATTTTAATTTGTTAGGAAGCTTCGACTGTTTCTCCACTTCTCGCCGGATACTGCGATGATTGAATTCTCGATCATTCTGTCCATGAATCAATTACAGCTTGTTGAGAAAACAGATTTATTTAGCTCAAAATGTAGAGCTGTATATGGCCTCTCTGGTCTCTCTAGAATCTCTCTCTCTGTGGTGTCTCTCTGGACTCTTGGTAGTCTCTCTCTCTCTGGTCTCTCTCTTGTCTATCTTTCTTATCTCTTTGTGGTCTCTTTCTCTGGACTCTCCGTTGTGTCTCTTTCTGGTCTTTCTATAGTCTCTCTTTCTCTGGTCTCTCTGTCAAGTCTCTCTGTAGTCTTTTTCTCTAGTCTCGTTTTAGTCCCTCTCGTTTTAGTCTCTCTCTCTCTGGTCTCTCTTTAGTCCTCTCTGAGGTCTCTCATCCATCTCTCTGGTCTAGTCTCCCTGTTGTCCCTCTCTCTCTGCTCTCTCTTTAGTCCCTCTCTTTGTAGTCTCTCTCTCTGGTCTCTCTTCAGTCCCTCTCTCTGGTCTCTCTTCACTCCCTCTCTCCGGTCTCTCTTTAGTCCCTCTCTCTGGTCTCTCTTTAGTCCCTCTCTCCGGTCTCTCTTTAGTCCCTCTCTCTGGTCTCTCTCTAGTCTCTCTCTCTTAAGCTGAAAAAACATTAGCATCAGTCCTTTGCCCTCACTGCCCCGTCCATCTGTGCATCAAGTGGCCGTGAAAACTTGCTTCTTTGGTAAAGTCCTTCTCTCTCTCTCTCTCTCTCTCTCTCTCTCTCTCTCGGTCTCGTTGTAAATCTCTGCTCGTGCCAGTCCCTGTGTCTGCACACTGCTCCACCTCCTCCTAATGGCTCCCGGCTGGACCTTAAACCCTCTCGCCTGGAGCCATCTCGTGGTTCTGGCCCCGGCTCCCACATCAGCGTCACATAAATTCTCATCTCTTGTTTGCAGAAGTGTAATGTCTAATGTGTGAGTGTGTGGTGGCCCCTCGCTCCGTCAGGGCCAAATAAATATTACATGCTTTACTATTTTGGTGGGCGGCTTTTCCCTTTCATTTGGTGAGCGCTCGACTGCTCCAACTTTTATGGACTTACATCAGCTCTGCTTCAATGTTTTAGTTTTTAGTTTTTTTGCCATCATAAGAGAATTTGGTTTAGTTTTTAAAGTTATCCCTGTACAGAATGTGATTCCCAAACGACCTGAGGCTGTCCATATGTCTGTGTGTATTCATGTTTACAAAAAAACTAGGCAGATAGAAAGAGAAAAGATACAGCCTGAGTCTAGACAATGGTCATTATGCTTCCTATAAAACAATGGCTCCTATGTGTTTGTGTTCGAAACCGGGATTCTCTGATCTTTTGTTGGCGAATCGTCAACTTTCGAGTCCTCTCCGAGACGATTGCTGTTGTGATTTAGGCCGATACATAAATACGTTGAATTGAATTATACAGTACATTGAAGCCATGGTAAGTTCTCATGTGTCAGTATATCTTTAACAGAAAAACAAAACTGGTCAATTTTTATTTTTATTTTTTGTTTGGCGGTTTTTAAACATTTGTCAAACATACTGGTTTTAATGTTTTCCATTAAACAATTTGGGGTCATATACACATTTAATTCCCAAACAGACTGGGACTGACTATGTATTTGTCTATGAATAACTTAAACTAAAGCGAGGGAGATTGAAAGACGAAAGGGTCCTCATTCTTCCCGATTCCTGGATCTATGACCTTAGATGCCGATCCCGTAGATTTCTCCAGGTGCTCCGCTTTGCCCCTACCATTAAAAACATGTAAAACCGTCTCATCTGTCACATGCAAATCAGTGTAATGAACATGTAGAGAGAGTCCGCTGCCTTGGCTTCCATCCACTACATCCTCTGTGTCAATTTGGTCTATTTACGCCAAGTGGAACATGTTGAAGCTTGACCAAGTTTTAATTGCATCTTTTAACGTGGATTGAGGCAGCTGCGGCGGCGATGATGACTCCATGTTATTGACTCCAGACCAAGGACATGAGAGAAACACATACTGTATAAAACCCTTTACTGTGATTTGTGTATATGTTTAGTTTTTGTTCATTCACTATTAAAACCAAATCAAGGCATTAGGCTGAAGCTGCAGATGCAAGCCCAGCCTGACGTCACATCGCATACAGCAGGAGTCTGAAACACGTGGCCCGAGTGCCATTTGCGGACCACAAATCAGTGTTACAAGGCCCCCTATTGGACATCAAAGTTCAATGTTTGTGTGGCCTTCACTGAGAGTCCAGGCGAATAAGGCTTGTTATAAATCATTATAAAGATACAGCTATCACCGGTAGCTCCTCAGCCCCTCTCAGGTAGCTCCCAAAAGGATTTAGAATTTAACACCTGATCTTGATTATATTTTGAGTCACTATACATCTATAGGAATTCAGGTTGGATTGAAATATCGAATGTCCAAGATTTTATACTTCCTTCTTTGTTATGCTAAAGCAAGAAGTTGTGTACTTGCTTCTTTATTATGCTAAAGCTAGAAGTTGTATACTTGCTTCTTCATTTTGCCAAAGCTAGAAGTTATATACAATTTCTTCGTTTTTAGGCTAAAGCTAAAAGTTTTATACTGGCTTCTTTATTATGCTGAAGCTAGAGAGGCCCCAAGTGAGAGCCCCGATGTACATTATATTAGCTAGTTCATCACTAATTGTTTCAAAATAGATACATATTACATATAGATTTCCAATGCCAAAAAAAACAAAAAACTTAATTTTCTTTACTTTTGTTCAGTTTTTTGAATATTCCGTATGGTTTTTTTCCTCATTTTGTCTCTTTGAGTTGAGGCAAAACTGATGAAAATTAGAGATTAGATCTATTTAATTGGGAGAACTTAACACTTTTTTTTCCCTCTGTGTTTGTCTTGATGTGCTCGAATCACCATCAAAAACAGTCGGTGCTTTGGCAATTACACAAAACTGCTCTCCACATGCTTCATTCCCTGTAACCTTTGCTGATTCTCTGACCTATCAAAAGCCGCGATGTAACCTCAAAACGCAATTTAGTCCGGAGCTGGTCCACTTTTGCCAATTTTCTGTACACTTCTCTGTGATCAAAAGTCTCTGGATCCAATTTTCAGAGACATAAGAGCAGGCACAATATCATAAAAATGCAGTAAATGGGGAAAGAGTTCTCAGCCGGTTTTTCTCGCCGCCTCCCAGTTGAGCAGAAACATCAATTGAAAGGCTTTTTCTTTTTCCAAGGGTCTAAATAATTTCGCTCAGAAGCAGCAAAAAGCCAAATCATATTTCACGAGTGCTGGACGGACTCTTCCAGTGGTGGAGGTGGAGTAAAGTACTGGTGTCCGAAAGAAAATATCGCAGGATCGTAAACAAGCCATGAGCGTTTATACAAGCTGGGACTCGCACGCTTTGTGTTATGGCAGTAAAAAAGTCGACAGGTTAACGTTTGGATCAATGTTGTGGGAAATTAAAAAGCGACATTTCATAGTTTCGGGAAAAATATGATCCGGTTTTTAGACCGCTCTGGGCTTTTCGATTGGTTCAAAGAGGAAAAAGACAAAACTTTCTTTGATATACATGGCTTTAAAACTAGAACTTGCAGAATTCTGGGTAAAATTAAGGTTTATGTGTAAGGTTTTTACCATTTACTTTGATAAAACAGTGACTTTAGGCCCCTAAATTCTAACTACAGTCTACTGGCTCAGGTTTCATCACAGCTTCTTATAGAGTAAAGCAGTTTATGTAATTGCCTTGATTTGACGGTGAAAAGCCTTATCCAGGCACTTTTAATTTCATTTTTGTATTCATTGAGTTGGGACAATGCACATTCATCAACAAGCGTCAGTGTAAATGTGCCGGACTTGGCGTAACCAAGGCAGGTTCCACGGTAACACAGACACACAAGACTTTAGAAACTTGCAACGACAAATCATACAATGAACAATTACAAAATAGAACACAGACCGATAGAAAAGACAATTTTTAACCCATTTAAAGAACAATAGACAAAAAAGGGAACAGGCATCAGACTGAGAATAGGTAGCTGTCTGATTTGCTAATTACTAATGTTTGAGACAAAATGTTGTTCTAGGCCTTCTACGGTACATCGCAATCACCTCTAGTTAAGGCTCTGGTTCTTCGTCCTTCATTATTTTATTTTTATTCATACATGTATGAAGTGGTGGGGAGGCAAGTTCATTTGAATCTTTGAAAATGAGACAAACATCCATAAACTGTCCAAATCAAAATAAACACAGTGGAGCAAAAAGTATTTAGTCAGCCACCAATTGTTGAAGTCCTCCTACTTAAGAAGACGAGAGTTGAAGAAATGTTAAAAGGAGAAAGTAGATATTAAGAAACAGACTTGATGTTTGTCTGACGAGTCAGACGAAGCGCAGTCCAAAAACCACCATGGATCGCACTATAACGAGAGCAGTGACGTCGCCCGGCATGGCGCAGCCGGGGCCCCACCCTGGAGCCAGGCCTGGGGTCGGGGCTCGTATGCGAGCGCCTGGTGGCCGGGCCTTAGCCCACGGGGCCCGGCCGGGCTCAGCCCGAAGGGATGACGTGGGCAGTCCCTCCTGTGGGCCCACCACCTGCAGAGGGGTCCGTGGTGGCGCGGTGCTGAGAGGACTGGGCGGCAGTCGAAGGCGGAGACCTCTGTGCCAGTCACAGTTTGTCCATCACGAACACCATGTTCGAGCACAAGGGTGTCCACCAGTGCACGTGGCACCAGGACACCCTAGGTCGGAGGTCGATGATCGACTTTGTTGTCGTATCATCTGACCTTCGACCGCGTGTCTCGGACACTCGGGTAAAGAGAGGGGCGGAGCTGTCAACCGATCATCACCTGGTCGTGAGTTGGATCCGCTGGCAGGGGAAGAAGCCGGCCAGACCTGGCAGACCCAAGCGTATAGTGAGGGTCTGCTGGGAACGTCTCGCTGAGCCCCCTGTCAGACGGACTTTCAACTCGCACCTCCGGGAGAGTTTCTCCCAGGTCCCGGCGGAGGAGGGGGACATGGAGTCCGAGTGGACCATGTTCTCTGCCTCAATCGCCGATGCGGCGGCTCGTAGCTGTGGTCGCAAGGTCTCTGGTGCTGGTCCCGGCGGCAACCCCCGAACTCGGTGGTGGACACCGGCAGTAAGGGATGCCGTCAGGCTGAAGAAGGAGTCCTATCGAGCCATGATGGTTCGGGGGACTCCTGAGGCAGCTGTCCAGTACCGGCAGGCCAAGCGTGCCGCGGCCCAGGCTGTTGCAGAGGCAAAAACCCGGGACTGGGAGGAGTTTGGAGAGTCCATGGAGCATGACTATCGGTCGGCCTCGAAGAGATTCTGGCAAACCATCCGGCGCCTCAGGAAGAGGAAGCAGTTCTTTGCCAACACCATGTACGGTGCGGGTGGAGAGCTGCTGACCTCGACTGGGGATATTGTCGGGCGGTGGAAGGAATACTTTGAGGTTCTCCTCAATCCCCCCGTCACGTCCTCTGTTACAGAGGCAGAGGCTGAGGATGTTGGGGCGGATACATCCATCTCCCTGGCTGAGGTCACCAAGGTGGTTGGTAGCCTCCATGGTGGCAAGGCTCCGGGTGTGGATGAGATCCGCCCTGATTATCTAAAGTCTCTGGATGTTGTAGGACTGTCTTGGCTGACACGTCTCTGCAACATCGCGTGGCGATCGGGGGCAGTGCCAATGGAGTGGCAGACCGGGGTGGTGGTCCCTCTCTACAAGAAGGGGGACCGGAGGGTGTGTTCCAATTATCGTGGGATCACACTCCTCAGCCTCCCCGGTAAGGTCTACTCCAAGGTACTGGAGAGGAGGTTATGGTCGAATCTCGGATCCAGGAGGAGCAGTGTGGTTTTTGTCCCGGTCGCGGAACACTGGACCAGCTCTATACTCTCCATCGGATACTCGAGGGTTCATGGGATTTCGCCCAACCTGTCCACATGTGTTTTGTGGATTTGGAGAAGGCGTTCGACTGTGTTCCCCGGGGTGTCCTTTGGGGGGTTCTCCGGGAGTACGGGGTCGGGGGTCCTCTGCTGAGGGCCATCCGATCCCTGTATGACCGGAGCCAGAGCTGTGTTCGCATTGCCGGCAGTAAGTCAGACCTGTTCCCGGTGAATGTTGGCCTCCGACAGGGCTGCCCTTTGTCACCGGTTCTGTTCACTGTATTTATGGACAGAATATCTAGGCGCAGCCAGGGGTCGGAGGGGGTCCGGTTCGGAGACCACAGGATTTCATCTCTGCTGTTTGCGGACGATGTTGTCCTGTTGGCTCCAACGAACCAGGACCTGCAACATGCACTGGGGCGGTTTGCAGCCGAGTGTGAAGCGGCTGGGATGAGAATCAGCACCTCCAAATCCGAGGCCATGGTGCTCGACCGGAAAAAGGTGCCTTGCCCTCTGCAGGTGGGTGGAGAGGTCCTTCCTCAAGTGGAGGAGTTCAAGTATCTCGGGGTCTTGTTCACGAGTGAGGGAAGAATGGAGCGTGAGATTGACAGGCGGATCGGTGCAGCGTGCGCAGTGATGCGGTCGCTGTATCGGACCGTTGTGGTAAAAAGGGAGCTGAGCCGAAAGGCAAAGCTCTCAATTTACCGGTCAATCTTCGATCCCTCCCTCACCTATGGTCATGAGCTTTGGGTAATGACCGAAAGAACGAGATCGCGGATACAAGCGGTCGAAATGAGCTTCCTCCGCAGAGTGGCTGGGCGCTCCCTTAGAGATAGGGTGAGGAGCTCAGTCACACGGGAGGAGCTCGGAGTAGAGCCGCTGCTTCTCCACGTCGAGAGGAACCAGTTGAGGTGGCTCGGGCATCTGTTCCGGATGCCTCCTGGACGCCTCCCTGGGGAGGTGTTCCGGGCACGTCCCACCGGGAGGAGGCCCCGCGGAAGACCTAGGACACGCTGGAGGGACTATGTCTCCCAGCTGGCCTGGGAACGCCTTGGGGTCCCCCCGGACGAGCTGGAGGAAGTGTGTATGAATAGGGAAGTCTGGACGTCTCTGCTTAGACTGCTGCCCCCGCGACCCGACAATGGATAAAGCGGAAGAAAATGGATGGATGGATGGATGGACTTGATGTGGTCTGTTTTACCATTTTTGTGTTTTACCTTCTGTTGAGAAAAGTAAAAAAACCCTAAAAAATGAACAAGATGAAAAATAGAACGTTTTTTGACCTCAATATAATACAGGCACAAACACTCACTTTCCAGCTTTCTCTAGAGCCTCCAAAAGTCTATGAAGCAAATCTTACTCCCAGCCCTAGGTAGATTGCCCGCACCTGACACGGTGAACCAGACGCATTCTCGCCGTTTGGCCTTCACCTTGTTTCCGCGACTGTTCACACCAATAAAGTGCCACTAGGACCGTCCAATTATGTCCCTGTCGTAGTCTCCGAGCTCTGTGTGAACTCGCCTGTCTCCTTCTGTCTTGTTCTCTTTCTCACCCTTGCTTGACTGATGGTGCATTTGGTCAGCTGTAATCACGCCATCATTCCGCTTCACTCCTCCTTCACCCGGCTAATTCTCTAACACGTCTTGCTAACTCTTGTCAGGTTATTACTGCAGCGTTGGAGACTTCTCACCCACCTGCCTTCTCGCAGACTACTTTATTCGCCTATAGTGTGTAATGAAGCCAATTAAGACAAGAAGATGAAGAAGAATAAGTTGTGGCGAAGTCGGAGCCGAGTTGGGTTGGGTATTTATTTGGAATTCCATCTCCGAGCCATTAAAGGACCAATCAGGAGGGAGGTTGTCGCCTCTGTCTGAGAAAGAACAAGGCCAATTTAGAAAAAAAAAGGTGTTCGAAGTCAGAGAAGATGGAGCCAAATTGTCTCTGTGTCCACCTTTGTATTTTCAACGCATACGACTTGGTAGTAGAGGTGGTAGTAGTAGAGGTGGTAGTAGTAGTAGAGGTGGTAGTAGTAGTAGAGGTGGTAGTAGTAGTAGAGGTGGTAGTAGAGGTGGTAGTAGTAGTAGCAGTCTTCCTTCTTTAAACAGTATGAACATTATATCTTAGGTCACATGTTCTCTTATACATTCCACAATAGAAAACGTATTTTGGATTTCAGAGCTAAATGGACTTCTTTACACAAACAGTAAAAAACAACACGAGACGAGCAAACTTCTCATCTCTCTCGAGCTCAATCTAAGAATCCACCTCTGACGCAACATGTCATTTGCCGCTTATAAATAGCCCGTTGCTTATTTTTTGTAAAGAAATGTAAATAATTCTTCCCCGGCGTACGGCGTTGTGCCATGATTTTTATTATAGCAGCGGAGGCGAGAGTGCGGAGAACAAATTTGCAACTTCCACAGTCACTTACATGCTACATTAAAATGGCGTCTGCTTACCCATCTGAGACAAGCGAGGTTGTCAGGGAAGTATTCAGGAGTGTGATGTTTGGTGTCTGTGTGTGTGATGTTTAGTGTGTGTGTGTGTGATGTTCAGTGTGTGTGTTTGCGTATCTCGTCTCTGATGAAATGACGTTTGATTTTACACTCTGCCAGTTTGATGGTCGACGGATATGCGCCGATGTGAGCGAGAAGTGGTGTTTAGAGTCACAGAGAAATGTTTTCTTACTTTTCTGTTAGAATTGTTGTCATAGTTTGACTGTTTGGAAGTGATGTCGGGCCCGTTATGCTAAATCAACATTTCTGAGCATTTACTACACTTTATCATGGTCCTTTAACACATTCAGACGACTTTTTTATCAATCCAGGGTATACTGCAAAAAGTGTTGAGAAATAAGTACAACATTTCTCAAATTTGGTAAAATGTTCAGATTCGGATTGAGCCTTAAAAGACAATTTTCCGATGAGACAAAACAAAATGATCTTGTTTTAAAAAGATGCATTATTTTGACTTTGTCCCATTGGAGAATCTAGTTTTAAGAAACTCAGAATGTACTCAAAATAAAAATAAATAAAACACTCAGTTACAGCACACACAGTTAACATTTTTCCTCAGTGCCCTTCGTTATCAGTCACAGACCTGGGGTTGTTTTTAGAGCCATGCATGCTGTCAGCAAACATACCTCTTCCTTCTATAATCCTGTGTGATGTGTGATGTCATCATACAGCTATGACATCACACTCAAAGCAGCAAACAAAAGTGTTGTCCATAAATTAGTTTTGATTCTTTCTCAAGAGAAACTACATTCTTAACCTTTTTTGAAATTTGGAAAACAAATTTAAAGCCTCCCCCTGGTATTCATTCTACATAATTTATAAGAGAAACATAAAATAAATGGTTAATAATACATCAATCCATTTTCTTCCCCTTAATCCATTTCTGGGTTGGGGGCCGTACACTTAGCTCCAGGCCCTCACTGATCCTCCTGCAGGTGGTGAGTCCACAGGTGCGTTGATTATTCAGCAGTGGCTTCAGGCAAAGTGGGGTTAAGTGTCTTGCCCAAGGACACAACGACAGCAGTCATCAGTAGGAGTCGTGAAGTAGGTCTCGTGGTGGGCTCGAACTCACAACCTTCAGGCTCAAAGACCAATGCTCTACCAACTGAGCATTAACTGATGGTTAATAGTAAGTTAACCAAATATCAGTTGGTTTGATGGTGCTCAAAAAGATAGATACATGAGCATTTCAGAAAGTTAAACTTGAAACTACTGAGATGGATCTAAACCATGTTCAGGATAAGTGTCTCTTTACAAAATCAGACCTTTTCATGATATTCTGTTTTTTTTTGTCAATGTTTTGTGGCTAACTAAAGATATCCAATCTTCTCACAGATTCTTATATCACAGAAATCAAAGCGCAAGGTGTGGGGTGACTGGTTTTCCCTACACATTTCTCAACATTGGTGACAAAAAACTAATCCAAGATCTCATTACTCAGTCACCAACATCAGTCATCTAGACATCCATCTTGATTCTTTATTTATCGCTTGTAATCGTAAAGTATGTATGGTATATAGCACAAGTTACAAAACAAAACAGCAATACATCGTTTTAACAAAGGAAGGACTTTTTCAAAAATGCGGCAAGTTTACAAATGATTCTGTGGCTTCCATCTTGAACAAATGCGAACATTTTTTGCATTGATGGATATTCGACATAATACTGAGCGAGATATCTGTCTCTGTGTGCAACATTACTGAAGCTCAAACAGGAAGTGCAACCCATCACCAAAATGCACTGTGTAAACGTCTTTCAATGCCCTTGTATCGTGCGGTGGTCTTGGATAATCAGATATTTCCAGTTCTAAAGTGAACTTCTACTTCTTCTTCTTCTGGGGTAGTAGATTCTGGGGTGTTTACTTTAGTATGGGCTGGAAACGGCAGCAAGTCCTAGATGTCACTGAAACCGTTGTTTTTGTGTTTTACATTTGTTATTATTTTTATTCTTGCTTTTTTCTGCCTGAGATGTCGCTGCAGTACAGTGTGCATGGTTTTACACTGGTCCAGACCAGAGCAGAGAGGATTCATGGTCCGAACCAAGTGGATCAGGCAAAAATCCATTGGCGGAATGCTAACTTTTTGCTAACTGCTAATGACACAATCAGCATTTTACTTTGGACTAGAGCCGAGAAAATGGTCTGAACCAAGCAGCTACTCCATATCTGCTGCTGAGACCTGAAGGACTGTTTCTTATTATCACTAGTGTTATCTTTTTAGAACGATCAATTTATTTGTTTTGTTTGTGTGGATTCCTGCATTTCTCCTACAGGAATCAATAAAGTAAATACAGTATCTATCAACTTCTCGACCTTCTCCTCCAACATGCAGTCCCCATGACCCACACTTGACGGCTACACACTCAAACATTTACCACTTCTTTTTGTGATTTTATCTTTTCCTTCTTCTCCACAAACTCAGGCAAAGGACCGGAGACTCTGTTCGCTGGACAGAAACTCAACGATAACGAGTGGCACACAGTGAAAGTGGTGCGGAGAGGCAAGAACCTCCAGCTGTCTGTGGACAACGTCACGGTAGAAGGTGAGTGGGTTTAAATGGAAAGATTTTGTATGTCTTTTATGTGTAAGGGTTAGAAGGTTCTTCAACAAACAAGTTTTCCGTGGTCACACTTGCTCTCCCAAATAGTGAGAAGGACTGCTACCACACCTACCACAGACCTGTAACTCGGACTACAGGAGCACCACTGCCAACTACTGTAGTTTATGTGTCAATTCAATTCAATTCAAATAACTTTATTAATCCGTGAGAAACTTCATTTACAGGCAGAGCAGCGGTGGGGGTACACAAAAACACACAATCTAAGTATGAATACAGTAAAAGAGCAGAAATGCAATATAAAATACATAAAACAGGTCTCAGGCATAGACAGTATATACTGTATTAACGGACGTAGTCACACCTATCTCCGCCGTTCTAACAAACGGGCCAAAAATTGGGCTTTCATGAAGTGATTCAAAATGGCCACGGGGGCTGGAAAATGTCAAAAAACGCATCTGCGCATGTGTCAGCCGGAACGAGCCCCATTCATTTAAACGAGTGACTTCAAAAAATTCACTACAAGTAAACTATAGTGGTCCAAATAAAATTCAATCCCCTCAGCATTGACACACATGTTTATTTATTTATTTATTTAATAGTTTATTTGAATAGGGACGATACACATTAATCAACATTGCTGTAAATGTGTCAGTATTAGCTAACAGCTAGTTTACAACTGTAGTCCCTAGGCAAGGTGTAAAATGCACTGCAAAAAATTACAATTATATTACAATACATTACATTACATTACATGACAATATAGAGTAACTAGTTAAAACATTTCAATTTAAAACACGTCATTAAAACATATAAAAGCAAGTCATTCATCATGAGTGGTTACAATCTTGATTGTCCAATAACCATGTTTTTAGCGTATTACCTTTCCTCAGTCTTACCTTCCTAGCCATATGCTAAACTAAAGAGGATTGCACACATCAGAGTCTATTATTAAAGATAATAGACAATAGAAATGCAGCCAGCGTAAGTTCAATTTGGTAGACGTCAGCCAAAGGTAACCCCTCCAGGCCGGTTCTCATCCCCAGCCTATCGCACGGCAAACGCCCCCTTCCAATCACCGGTCCAGCCAGGCAAGCTGCTTAAAAGCGGAGGAACTCCCATTCTCGGCCTCTTGAAGCTGCAGCAAAGAGCGAAGCCTTGCAAAGAGTCGTTCTGGAGGAATCGCTTTGTTCTACTCTCACTTACTTCGTGCGTGTCCCTGCTGTCCTCTGTCCTGCTGCGTGTCGTCTGCTCCTCCTCCACGTCGCTGCACCTGCTGCGGGTCTCGTGCTGTGGTCCGTGGGTCTTTGCCGCTCTCCTCCTTTGCGGGCTCTTTCTGCGGGTTCGCCGCTGCTCGTCTCGTCGCGGCCTGCTGCTGCATACGGCTGGTCTGGCCCGGTGCGGTGGGAGCCGTGCGCATCCCTGCCTCCTCGTGCCATACGGTGTGGTCCCATCGTGTTGTCCCTTATCTTCTGGCGTTGCGGGTAAGTATGAGATCTGCGGACGGTTTATTCCCCTCGCATTGTCCTGCAGGCTCAGTTGGCCCCGCGCTTGTAATGCAGGCTCAGTTGGCCCCGTGCATTGGTGGGCAAGCATCAGTTTAAAGCCCTCGCATTGGTCTGCAGGCTCTCTTTAACCAAGCTCCGTTTAAATCCTTCACTCTGACTGCAAGCTCCGTTTAATCCCTCAAATTGGACTGCGAGCTCTCAGTTTAATCCCTCACGGAACTGCTTATATCTGGAACTGCTTACGTATTATGGAACTGCTTACGTATTGTGGAACTGCTTACGTATTATGGAACTGCTTATGTATTACGGAACTGCTTATGTATTACGGAACTGCTTATGTATTATGGAACTGCTTTTATGGAACTGCTCATATTGGGACTGCTCATACCTGGAATTGATTATATGGTACTGCTTATACCTGGAACCGCTTATACAGTGCATGGAACTGCATATATTGGTTCTGCTTATATCTGGACCTGCTTATATATGGATCTGCTTATATACGGAACTGCTTATACATGGATCTGCTAATATATGGAACTGCCAATATATGGAACTGCTAATATATGGAACTGCTAATATATGGATCTGCTAATATATGGAACTGCTAATATATGGATCTGCTAATATATGGAACTGCTAATATATGGAACTGCTAATATATGGAACTGCTAATATATGGAACTGCTAATATATGGAACTGCTAATATATGGAACTGCTAATATATTGGAACTGCTCATATTGGAACTGCTCATATTGGAACTGCTCATATTGGAACTGCTCATATTGGAACTGCTCATATTGGAACTGCTCATATTGGAACTGCTCATATTGGAACTGCTCATGCAATATATGGAACTGCATATATTGGTACTGCTTATATCTGGAACCGTATATATATGGAACTGCTTATATATGGAACTGCTTGTATATGGAACTGCTTGTATATGGAACTGCTTGTATATGGAACTGCTTGTATATGGAACTGCTTGAATATGGAACTGCTTATAGATGGAACTGCTTGTATATGGAACTGCTTATATCTGGCTCCGTCTCCTCCCTCAACAACGCTGTCTGCCCGGACGCGGGGTGCCGCTCCGACCTGGCGTTCGGGTCCCGTCTGCTGAGCCGCTGGGACGGTGTATCTTTTTTTACAGTGACGTCATCCCGTCCTCAGATGCCCTGCGGTTCTTCACGGACGCAGCCCCGTCCGTGGGTTTTGGGGGTCTCTTCCAGGTCCAGTGGTTCGCCGGGCCCTGGCCCAACGCCTTCCCTCAAAGCATCGCCTCCGCGCTCCCGATAACCTTCCAATGTCATCCGTCTGTTTCAGAGCCCAACTCAAGTCCGTACTGCTGCTTGTAACCTGTCTCCCCATCTCTACACAGCCCACTCCTTTCGGATAGGCGCCGCCACGCGCGCCGCGTCCCTTGGGCTCCCCTATTCCGCCCTCCAGCAGCTGGGCCGCTGGTCATCATCGGCCCTCTCCTCATACATCAGGCCTGACACTTCGACCATCCTGGCAGCCCAGCGCCCCTTTGCATCTCCATAAAACACTTGCAAACTTCCTGGTGGCGGCAGCAGCTGAGTATCCGCAAGCATGGTCGCAGCAGCTGAGTATCCGCAAGCATGGTCGCAGCAGCTGAGTATCCGCAAGCATGGTCGCAGCAGCTGAGTATCCGCAAGCAATGGTCGCAGCAGCTGAGTATCCGCAAGCAATGGTCGCCCGCAGAGACTGTTCGGCAGAGACTGTTCGGCAGAGACTGTTCGGCAGAGACTGTTCGGCAGAGACTGTTCGGCAGAGACTGTTCGGCAGAGACTGTTCGGCAGAGACTGCTCGGCAGAGACTGCTCGGCAGAGACTGCTCGGATGAGGATCCGCAAGTTTGGTCACAATAGATAGCGGTCACAGCATATAGTGATAGCGGTCACAGTATATAGCAAAAAATGGTTAGCGGTCACAGTATATAGCGATAGCGGTCACAGTATATAGCAAAAATGTTAGCGGTCACAGTATATAGCAAAAAATGGTTAGCGGTCACAGTATATAGCAAAAAATGGTTAGCGCGCGATGGTCGCGACTCGTCAGCATATAGCGATAGCGGTCACAGTATATAGCGATAGCGGTCACAGTATATAGCGATAGCGGTCACAGTATATAGCGATAGCGGTCACAGCATAGAGTAGTCTCGACGTCTGTCCCCTTCAAACCAGGCTGCAAAACTCCATCAACTCACAACCTTTTTGGGGATTGGCATGCTCCATCGCAGAGCCCCTCCGATCTGAAGGCCGCACCGGGGCCTAGGGCGCCAAACCTCCTCCCAATAAATACTCAAAAGCTTCTTGTTTCACGTCTCTCCAAATTGAAATGCAGCCAGCGTAAGTTCAATTTGGTAGACGTCAGCCAAAGGTAACCCCTCCAGGCCGGTTCTCATCCCCAGCCTATGGCACGGCAAACGCCCCCTTCCAATCACCGGTCCAGCCAGGCAAGCTGCTTAAAAGCGGAGGAACTCCCATTCTCGGCCTCTTGAAGCTGCAGCCACCGCCTCCCCTCCTCCTCCTCTTCACCCTGCTTCATTCTGCCTTCAATCTGCTTCCCGCTGCCAAATGCCGCCACCAGTGCCTAGGTCCCGGGGGATTGGCATGCTCCATCGCAGAGCCCCTCCGATCTGAAGGCCGCACCGGGGCCTAGGGCGCCAAACCTCCTCCCAATAAATACTCAAAAGCTTCTTGTTTCACGTCTCTCCAAATTGAAATACAATAATAAGATAATACAATAGTATAATGGAATATAATAAAATAATAACTCTATAATTTCACTTGGTTCAGGAGTATTTACAGATGTTTATATTGTACTTTAAAGCTGCACTGACTGATTTTATTTTTGTATTCATTACAAAAATGCTATCCATGTCCATGTAGTGCATTGGGATATACGTCCTTTTGAAGAAAAAGTAGCGCAGATTTGTGCTGGCGTGACATTATATTTTAGATCGAGTGCTGATGAAACAAGGAAGAGAATGTATTTCGGGTCTCTGATTGTGACCAATCACAGCGGACCACTAGCCCCCACTTTCGTGAGAAATCTACAGGTCCATTAGCATAGACGGCTGAGTTAGCACAACAAGCCGAGGAGCTAACCTGACGCTTCCTCGTCTTCGTCACCGGTTACTGCCATTCAAAAGAAAGTCCCGTTCCTCCGCGCTTCCCGGTTCTATCGTTCTATGGTCACGCCATCCACGTGCAAATCCATATCCATGTATTATAAATACTGGGAGACGGTAGCTCCGTCAACAACAGTGGGTGTGTGTGGGGGGGCGATAGCTTCGTGGGTGCGGGGAGGGGAGCAGAAAGAGCGAGGCCAGTAAGTCCGCGGCTTCAAACTCCCCAAGTCAGTTAGTGCAGCTTTAACAGCGGAGAATATGAGCAGAATAAACAATAGTAACAATATCAGCAGTAAAGTGACTAGTGAATGACAGATTTACAAAATATATGTATATATATATATATATATATATATATATATAAATTATCAATTCATGTTGTCGTTTCACTTTTTTTGGAATTGCTGATGTAAGCTGTCGTATGGATTTGTTATAGTTCTTCTGCGATAAAGGACCCCCATTGAAAAAAAACTCAGATTATCTCAAAGGGGCTATCCTTAAACATATACAGTACAGTACAGTAAATTCCAACTGAGCAAACGCACACCAGACCCCACCCTTCCTCGGGTCTTCAGGTCAAAACTGGACTCACCTGATGAATTAAATGGAGTCTGGTGTTGCTCCTGCTTTTGTTGAAATCCAAACCCTGCATCCACACCAGCCCTGAGTCACCCATGGTCTCGACAAGTCCTGAAAGCAGTCCTGAAAGCAGTCCTGAAAGCAGTCCTGAAAGCAGTCCTGAAAGCAGTACTATAGACGTCCCCTATGGCCCCGACAGAAGCAGTCGTCACGGTCCATATGCCTCATGGTGCTTACTGCCGGACCCCCGCTCGTCTCTGGCATCTCTGTTTACCAGCTTTAATTTCCTGGGAAAGTTTCTCGAACACATCCGCCCACGCAGGCAACAGCTTTGGCAGCGCGGCGCCTTCCAAAGTGCGAGGTGACTAATTAGGACTGCGGAGTGAGCGGCATATGGCGGGCTCCTTTCGTGGTCGCCCTGATATTTAGCGGCGGAGATGCCAATGGTACATTCTGCGAGCTTCAGTTTCAACACATTACTCACGGCGGGCTGTAACAAAGTTTGTCTCGATGTTAATGAAAGTGCGTAGGGTTCGTGTCGGAGTGAGGTGTAAATTGAATATTGTAAAATGGTTTCCTTTAACTTCTCACTGTTCCTAATGTTGGCTCCGACTGCGTTCTCTCATTCATACAGAGGATAATTCTCTTTTTAAACTCTAAACAACACTTGGAGTAGGGCTGTAGGCTACGGGAAGACCAGAGAGAGACCAGAGAGAGACTAGAGAGAGACTAGAGAGAGACCAGAGAGAGACCAGAGATAGACTAGAGAGAGACCAGAGAGGGAGAGAGAGTGACCAAAGAGACACTAGAGAGAGATTAGAGAGAACAGAAACAGGGACCAGAGAATAACCAGAGCGAGAGACCAGAGAGAAACCAGAGAGAGACTAGATGGAGACCAGTGAAAGAGAAACAGAAAGAGAAACCAGAGAGAGACGATAGAGAGAGACCAGAGAGTGAGGAGAGACCGAAGAGAAAGACTGGAGAGAGAACAGAGAGAGACCAGAAAGAGAGACCTGAGAGAGGGACTAGAGCGAGACCAGAGAGAGACACCATTGTCTTTGAAGTATTTTTTCACCAGTTTTTAAACTCTCAGCGTTGACACCAGGGGCACAGGTCACAGCGGTGGGTTAGACCAACGGGGAGGGGGCTGGGGGTGGGGGCTGAGGCTGGTCCAGGCGCCTCGGGCGGAAGGATAGTGGAGCGCAGAGGTGAAGGCGAGACCCGAGAAACAGCACAGAGGCCAGAAGCAAGAAGTGACCTGGACAGTAACAGTCTGAGGTTTGGAAAGAAGACAATAAACAGTTATATATCAACATAGAAATTGTGTTATTTTTGGAGCTTGTTTCAGAATCGAGTGAGAATAACATCCATCCATCCACTCATTTTCTTCCTTTTCATCCGTTGCCGGGTCACGGGGGCAGCAGTATAAGCAGAGAAGCCAAGATTTCCCTCTCCACACACGCTTCCTCCAGCTCAACCGGAGCGGCCCCAAGGCGTTCCCAGGCCACAGAGAGACACCTTTTTTCCGGTCAAGCACCACGGCCTCAGATTTGGAGCTGATTCTCATCCCAGTCGCGTCACAATCGGCTGAGAAAAAAGATTACGGTCATAATGAAGAGATCCTTTATTGGTCCCACAGTGGGGAAATGCCAGTTACATAAAAATGGAGCACACAGCACAAGATGAGTGAAAGTGACTATTCTGAAATATAAGACAATCTCTACCTTTTGTCTGTCTCACATTATCAGAAAGACAGTTAGATTTTAGTTGCATAAATATGAAACGCTGCCTCCTTATGTCTAGTCCTGTCTCTAGCACCAGCAGGAGGCCAGTCCCTGTGCTCCTCAGAGTCCCAGCAAGAGGCTAGTCCCTGTGCTCCTCAGAGTCCCAACAGGAGGCCAGTCCCTGTGCTCCTCAGAGTCCCAGCAAGAGGCTAGTCCCTGTGCTCCTCAGAGTCCCAGCAGGAGGCCAGTCCCTTCGTCATATGGCAACTAACATGGCTTGTTTTCATAAATGGAAAAAAAATTCTCATCTTAAACTAGTGACTTTTTTGTTTGTTGGGAACATTAACACACAAAAAAAACATTCACAACTTGAGACAAATTGCCGACCAAACTTTCCAGTCTCGCACCTAATGTTTGTGGACAAAGACCTACAGGTAAAGTTGAGATAACGGTGGATTCAGTCAGTTTTGAACCTATGTAACGTCCTTCACAGTGGGTTGGCTGAAGTCACGGCGGTTCTTGAACTTACTGTATCAAATCCTTCTTCACATTTCCCCGTCTGCAGACACAATCGATTTGAACAGATGAGAGAGTTCGAGGTCTGCTTAATGTCTGTAATAAGGGCTTCATATTGAATTATAGACGTAATATAAAAGTGTGTAATGAGAAGCATATTCAGTGCATTTCGTCCGTGGCTCGTCTCGTTTTGATCGTCTCTCGTGCAGAACAATACGTTTTAAAATTAGTTATTTACAAAACTGGTCACACAAAATAAACTGTTTTACTGTGTTAAGAATTGATTAAAAGCAAATTAAGGGATTTAGAAGAGAGTTGGTGTTACTAAGGTTTGGACATGTTCTTTTTTTGTCCTGTTTACCTGCAATAATAGTTGAGTCAAGACATAATCAAAATACTATATTAGATTTTAGCTGGAACCAGTTTGACACCCCTTTAACCTTTGTACTATCTGCAAAAGTGATTCATAAATACTCTAAAATCATTTTTTGTGTGCTGAATTTTTATGATAATTCTAAATTTTACCTTTTACTTTGGACCCAAGGGGCCAAAAGTACCGAACACAAGGGGTATATAGACATCACCTCCCACTGCTGTTGTTGAGTTCATGGGCAAAACACTTAACCCAACTTTGCCTGAAGCCCCCGCTGAAAGATCAAGGCTATACTCACACAGATGCTGGTGCCCTGTGGATTGGGTGGCAGCTGACCCGGGAATGGATTACGGGGTAGGATAGGGATGGATAAAACATTTATGTGCATCTATGAACATAGCAGTAAAACAAAATTGAATAAAATTAAAGAGCCATACAACTTACACAGTGTTAAAAGCCAGTGCATAAAAATGGGTCTTAATGGGTTTTAACGGCAGAAAGGAAGATAATCCTACTTCCTGGTGGATCATCAAGACTATTTGTCCTCCCAATTGTCAATCAATCTGGTGATACGTGCTCTTCAAATTAGACCAGAGGGTTTTGGTTCAAAAAGTGGAGAGGGCACTTCTTTCCAAAAATGTGGGAATTACCTCCTGTATACTTGTATGTCTTGTCCTGGGCACTATGAGTTGGTGCTTATTCAAACTCTAACCTGGTCCCATGTTGTTGTTTCCCACCCAGGTCAGATGACTGGTGCCCACACGCGGCTGGAGTTCCACAACATTGAGACGGGAATCATGACGGAGCGCCGCTTCATCTCCGTGGTGCCGTCCAACTTTATCGGCCACCTGCAGGGCCTGTCCTTCAACGGCCTGCCCTACCTGGACCAGTGCAAGAACGGGGACATCTCCTACTGCGAGCTCAACGCACGCTTCGGAATGCGCCACATCATCGCCGATCCGGTGACATTTCGAACCAAAGGGAGCTACTTGGCTCTGGCCACGCTACAGGCCTACGCCTCCATGCACCTGTTCTTCCAGTTCAAGACCACCACACCCGACGGACTCATGCTGTTCAACTCTGGGGACGGGAGCGACTTCATCGTAGTGGAGCTGGTCAAAGGGTAAGTACTGGGAGAGCTGGGAGAGAGCAGAGAGAGAGTTAAGAGAGAGAGGCTGGAGAGAGAGCAAAGAGGGTAGAGAGAGAGACCAGAGTGAGAGCAGAGAGAGACAAGAGAGAGAGAGAGAGAACTGAGAGGGAGACTAGAGAGAGACCAGAGAGAGAAACCAGAGAGATAGACCAAAGAGAAACCAGAAAGAGCGATCAGAGAAACCAGAAAGAGACCAGAGAAAGAGACCAACAAGAGAGACCAGAGAAATAAAAAGGACTTTACAAATTTGTCGATTCCTATACAACACATATGAGAATCTGATCATAAATGTAAATAATATTTCTAATGCATCAGTTTTATAAGAAGGACCTGGGTTCAATTCCCGGTCGGAACAGAGCCTCCCTGTGTGTAGTTTGTATGTTCTCCCCCTGTCTACTGCGACTATACTTCTACCACTACTACTCCTAATACCACTACGACTACTAACACTACTACTACTTCTACCACAACTACAACTACCACTCCCACTATTATTTTCACTATTTTGTTAGCCATCTTTACAGACACCAGGACCATCAACTAGATTGCACTAAAAGTTTTTTAGTGTCTGGAAAAACAACGGAGATAAACAAATTTGAATTTCCTCATAATCTGCCCATGACTAGAGCGGCTTCTGTTTGCCAAAGATATCATTTCTTTCACTTGTATTGATATTAAAATATTCATTTCTTTATTGCAATATGAGTCACGGCGGAGAGCGGAATGGTCCAAACTCTTTCTCTCTCAAAAAACAAAGTTGGATGAGTCAGCCTTGGCTCGGTTTGACGCCGTACCAAGCACAAAGTGGAGCAGACAAAGTTCTTGGAAGCATCTTTGTGAGGCTCGAACCGATAACAAAACACATTGAAAATTCCCTGCGATTGTCTCAACGCCAAAACATAAAGCAAAACTAATAATTTGCCTCGGATCAAGTGTGGAAGTGTCTCTTTGTGAACCAAAACCGGGGCAGTTTTCCTGAATAATGAGCGAAAACGGCATCGTCCAAAAATATAGCGGTAATTAGGGAATAAAAGCGGGTCTCTTTTGGTGCTGTATCTGCGTTCTGGTTTTGTGTAATCCTGCAAACACAAAAGCCTGAGCTGCGTCTGCTGCGCAAAGACAAGAGGCAGCAAAGAGGAACCAGGACCGAGGTGGAGGGAAAGAATAACACTTGAAAGAGAAGGAAGACAAAGGAGAGATGTGTACGTTTGGGGAGAGAGATGGGAGAAAGGGGGGTGAGGATGGATGTGGTGTCGTCTGTCAACATTTAAACTGCTGGTAGTTTTGATTCACAGATCTATGAAACTTTGAGAAATCCAGGAGCGACAGTTTTTTGGCTTTTTCCCCAGGCGAGGGAGGGGTGAAAGAAGGGAGAGGTGAATAAATATAGATTGAATGAATGAATGAATTCATATATATTATGCAGCGGTGGCTCTCATCAGCGTATAGATTTACACCACCTCCAGACCTGGCGTATATTTTTTGCGTATTGTACGCTCACGTCCAGATTGATAAATGCGTACGCCTCATTTACCCTGTGAGAGTGTGTCTCACACAGGCCTGGAGTTTACCTCATCAGTGCGAGGCGAGCCAGGCCTGACCGCGCTCTCCTCCTCTGGGACCTACGGGCCCGGCCCTCTGGCTCCTCTACTGTACCTTTCTTAAAACTAAAATTAAAAAGGCTACTCCGTTGTGAATGTCAATCTTTAAGAGGAGGAATAGCTGGTTGTTCTCGGGGAACGGGCTTCGCGCATGGGTTTCGCGATGTTTGATATGATCATGCAGCTTATAGGACAAAATTGTTCAGCCAATATATTTATACTATATTTGAAGCAACAAACCTGATGACGCTCAGGCGGTTACATTTTCTAAAAACATTAGAACGCAACATTTTAGCAATAATGTGTGTATAGAAATAACAATATTTAAATTATGTCTTTTAATAAAAAAGGCAAATGACTTGAGAGGCGAGGAACAAATTTGAGTAGGCCAAGATAAAAACTGGTAAAAACTACCCAGGCCTATACCTGGCGCCGCGGCTGGCTTAGAAGGCCTGTGATGCCCACAGCGTCATCCGTCTACGCGCCTCTGTGTGGATCACACGTCTCTCTTCGGGCTGGAGCATTTTGAGGGTTTTAAAGCAGAAGTCAGGAAGGTGGCGATCCTACGGGTGTTTGTGATTTTTTGGTTTAACAGCCTCCCTGTTAAACTTAAAGCAGCAGTAAGCGATTTGGTCGTTTCCGGCAGTTTCTTCTGCCTGAGCGAGTTAGTAGCCCCGCCCCCGTCCCCTCGTCACACCACATGAACGCGCATCGTGTTGGTGATGGCAGCAGCATGTTCATCTCCGTCGGGTCTACTCGTAAGTATATTAACAACAAACTCTGGGAGTGAAATATTAGCATAGAATAGCTCAGTTGTAACCTAGCTATAACACTGGAAGCAGCTTGGTGTTAGCTAGGATAGCATCACTAAGAAAGAGATAAAAACAATCCAGTCTTTTATAGAATAATACTGCTTTTATAGTTGGCACACTGATAACTGTTGTGATAAACATAATGTTGCAGATTGCAGTGTGACGTGTCTCAACATTATGCACTGTAACATCTGTTACAGTGCATATGTATTAGATGAATGTAATGCATATACATTACAACAACAAAGCTTTACATGAAGGTTATTTAAAGTAATACATTACTGCTTTCCTCACAATTTGTATATTTGGAGTTCTTTATAGACAACACTGTAGTAATGTATTATGTGAAAGTAAAGCTGCATCTCACTGGAAGCTGCCTTCTCAATGTCACAAAATAAAGATACATTTATTGATGTAATCAACATCTGTATTATGTGCTTATTGTTCAGAGAATGAAGACAAAATCAAAGTGTATCAGAGCTGTACAGTGAGATGTGGGACTGAAAAACAATTCCAGTAAAGCTTGTCCGAAACGCAAAAGTACTGTCATAACTAATTACGTTACACTATTACACTGTAAGGAAACTCACCACTTTGAAAGAAAAGCTACAAGTAACAGAATATATAAAGTCATTTGTCATAATGGTTCTTTCAGGAAGCACTGAACGCCCTCTGTCCAGAGAAGCTGATGACCAGATCCTTTCCCTGATGCGTCTGTGAAAGGTGCCAACAGACATTGAAAACGTGCTTTCCTCAGCGGCCCCATGTGCACGGCCAGCGGCCCCCATGGTGCACGTCCTCAGCGGCCCCCATGGTGCACGTCCTCAGCGGCCCCCATGGTGCACGTCCTCAGCGGCCCCCATGGTGCACGTCCTCTCTGCAGTTCTGAAATATGTTTGTAGTTGTACTATTTCAAAATAAAAAAAAATACATTCACTTCTTTCAATGTGCTTTGTTTTATAGTAGGAAAACAAATACAGTCTGTAACGAGTCTAAGAAACTTTATTATGTAAAAGAAGATTTGAAGTTATAGCCGGAAAAATATACACAATGTCCCTACTAAGACAAATAATTACAAGTGATGGTAAGGCAACGTTTGTGTTATCACTTTTTGCTCAAATGAATAACACTGTTATTATTCAGGTCCTTATCCATCGCTGCTGCAGCGAACACTATCAGAGATATCTAACAAAATGTTAATCTTTATGTTGTAGTTTGTTTGAACACATTTCCTCAAAATAATTCATAAGCAGCCACGCACACACAGCCACAAGCACACACAGTCACAAGCACACACAGTCACAAGCACACACAGTCACAAGCACACACAGTCACAAGCACACACAGTCACAAGCACACACAGCCACAAGCACACACAGTCACAAGCACACACAGCCACAAGCACACACAGTCACAAGCACACACAAGCACACACAGCCACAAGCACACACAGCCACAAGCACACACAGTCACAAGCACACACAGTCACAAGCACACACAGCCACAAGCACAGTCACACACAGTCACAAGCACAGTCACACACAGTCACAGTCACACACAGCCACAAGCACACACAGCCACAAGCACACACAAGCACACACAGCCACAAGCACACACAAGCACATACAGTCACAAGCACACACAGCCACAAGCACACACAGCCACAAGCACAGTCACACACAGTCACAAGCACAGTCACACACAGTCACAAGCACAGTCACACACAGCCACAAGCACACACAGTCACAGTCACACACAGCCACAAGCACACACAGTCACAGTCACACACAGCCACAGGCACACACAGCCACAAGCACACACAGCCACACGCACACACAGCCACACAGTCACAGTCACAGTCACACACAGTCACAAGCACACACAGTCACACGCACACACGCACACACAGTCACACGCACACACAGCCACACAGTCACAGTCACACACAGTCACAAGCACACACAGCCACACAGTCACAGTCACACACAGTCACAAGCACACACAGTCACACGCACACACAGTCACACGCACACACGCACACACAGTCACACGCACACACAGCCACGCTTCAGGGGCCCAGGTTGAAGGAACTGGAGTCTTCCTCTGGCAGAGATTTTCCTTTGAAACACAATAGAGGAGACATCAGTTTTATCTACTCAAATATGACTGATATATTCATCATCAACAACATCAGTATTTATTGATCACCAGGAGTGGCCCCTGATCCACAGGATCCTTGAACATGTTTATTTGGACTGTGAGAGACTGTGCATTGTGAGAGAAAGACACTTACATCGGCTGTTTTGGGAGTCGAGTGATTATCTCACTCCTCTTGATTGTTGAAGAAACTCAGCGACAGTTTTGTCAACACTGACTCCTGGAACATGATCGATATTCATTTTGGACCTCAGGGCAGCAACACAACTGTAGGGATGAACGACACACACATCACAACATCATTATCATAATCACTGCGTCCCATATATGCATTCACAACAACCTACATGACAAATGTGGGGTGTAAAGTCTTCCTCAGGAGATGACAATGGCCGATCTTCTAATTCTGAAAGCAAAGTCTTGTCTTCCCAGTCAATACTAGAGAAAGAAGAGGTCAGCAGAAAAGTATCTAGTCGTTATGGCATTGGTTTTTTTTTAATAGTTATTTAACTTGCATTATGGAGGCTGTTGAACTCTTGTACATTGAAGACCTCATTCCAATTGATTTAGGCCATACTGGAAAAGATACAGAGAAAAGAATGCAATGAAGACATGTAAATTATTACAATGTCTATATTATATCATGCTCATAATTTATTTGGTAGTAGTCAGCAAGACTTTTCTTACTTATTCTCAATACATAATAATAAAAATGTATGTAGTGGTCACGGAAGTTAGATTTGAGGTAAAGAGATATTGTTTTTATAACAATAAAACTAATATACAGAGTGCAAGTTGCAAAACTTAGTCATTGAAGAATGAAATGCAGACCTACATATATATATAGTGCAAGCAACTATGTTTATTGGCAAAAACAAACGATTCATACAGATCAGAAGTGATCGTAGCAGCCACATCATATTCACAACTACAGACAGCTAATGCTAACAGCTAACGCTAACAGCGAACGCTAATGCTAACAGCGAACGCTAATGCTAACAGCGAACGCTAATGCTAACAGCGAACGCTAATGCTAACAGCGAACGCTAATGCTAACAGCGAACGCTAATGCTAACAGCGAACGCTAATGCTAACAGCGAACGCTAATGCTAACAGCTAACGCTAATGCTAACAGCGAACGCTAATGCTAACAGCTAACGCTAATGCTAACAGCGAACGCTAATGCTAACAGCTAACGCTAATGCTAACAGCGAACGCTAATGCTAACAGCGAACGCTAATGCTAACAGCGAACGCTAATGCTAACACCACTTCACGGGGGAACTCTGGTGATATGGTCATTTAATGTTGTACATGTGGGGAACTAATAATTGACCGGAGTTTATGGATGGCTAAGGCTGGGCTAAGGCTTCGATGTTGTGTTGTCTGTTGTTGTTTCTCAAAGCTAAGCCAAGGTAATGCGCAGTTATTGCCACAAAATGCGGCCGTATTTCTACAACAGCTGGGGATTTTTAACTAGCTAACTTGGTGAAAACCCGCATTACAGTCTCAGGCAACAATATGTATAAATAATACAACTACTACTGCCACTACTGAGTAACATGCTCACCTGTTCAGTCGGAGAGAGGAATCCACGGAGCTAGAGGTCGCCAACATGAATGCAGCTGGTCACCATGTTGCTCCTACTTTTTGTCGTTCCTCTGTTTCTGGCGTTTTGCCTGTATTTAATAAATCCATGGTATTTAGTCTGCAGCAGCGCTGGAGGCGGCTTTTCCTTCTCCGCCATGTTTGTTTTGAAGAGTGCGCGTGCACACACGGGAGAAACCCCTTATAAGGCGTGCTCTCTCGTCATTGGATAAGCGCATAGGATGTGAGGTTTTTTTATCATATAGGTGGGAGAAGACTGGAAGGACTGAGAGATCCGTGTTTAGGTACAAACACTCTATATAAGTGATGGCTATTGGAATATATCAATATTTAAGACGTATATTAACACCCAAAAATCGCTTACTGCTGCTTTAATTATATATATAATTATATATAGGGATCAGGAGCTTTATGACCCGACCCACCCGCACCCAACATGACTCATATTTTTGAGGCATCCAACCCGCCCGAAACTGCGGGTTGACCGCGGCTTTCGGGCCGACCCGCGCATCACTACCCCTTAGGTAACACGTTGCCATAGATACACAGGGCCGATGGAAACGCTCTCAAACCGAGTCGAGTCGTGCCGAGTCGAGTTGAGGCGAGTAGAGCCGGGCCCGTGGAAACAGCCCTTAAATTCCGAAGGTAAACCCAGACCGAGCCCAAAATAATACATATATTGACATTATTCAGTGAAACCTTTTCTTTCTTTCGTCAATACTAGACTATTTCTCGTTTGCAATCCAATCCAAACACCCTCCCACCCTCGCTCCACTTGAACCTGATGTTATGAGGACTTCCTGGAAGATGTCGCCGCTATAGTGTTTTGTGAAATTCACAAACAAAACTGAATTCTTGGATCTAAATTGGCGGGTAACGCTCAATCACTCGACGGCGCTGGAGAGCATTTTGACTGTGACTTGTCATCAGCGTTCTGATGGCAGCGCGCTCTTGGATCTCGAGTGTACACCGTGATTAGCATGCGGCGTGCGGCGGAGGAAAGAAAAGAAAAGGGAGGAGAGGCATTGCTGTAAGAAAAGCCGTGTTAGGTTATGAGAAAGTGATCGCATTGGGTTTTGTCAAGCCTCTCAAATCAAGCAAGTTTGTATTTACTTTTTCCTTGTGTTTTTGGCTGTATCGCACATTCCCAGTTATTTGCACAGCCAGAGTGATCTTATTGAGGCCAGATCTACTGTAACATAGATAGATAGATAGACAGACGAGGCAGAGAGATACACATGTTTTAAGTTGTAATAAAAGTCTATCAAATAATTACGGCATAACATGGAGAAAACTTGTAAAATATACCACAATACTTATAATAGAATATAAGTATTGTGAGTATAGAATATATAATAAAATGACTCAAAATGAATTCATTCACAATCATGTGTTAAATTCTAGATCCTTTAGGGAGCTACCTGAAAGGGGCTAGCGAGCTACTGGTAGTTTCTGAGCTACGGGTAGGAGCCCCCTGACTTTGATAGATAGATAGATGGATAGATACTTAGATATATAGATACATAGATAGATAGATAGAAACTTGGATATATAGATAGATAGATAGATACTCAATAGATACTTAGGTATATACAGTATAGTTACATAGATAGATATTAAGATAGATGTTTTTGCTTCCTTTCTTTTCTTATACTGTAGATACTTTGATAGATAGATACTTGGATAAAGATCCCCTTAGGAGGTAAGTCAGTTTCTCTATTGTGAGATTTATGTACAGTTAATGTGACGAGGTGAAAACAGAAGAGGGACCCAAAATGCAGGACTGTCCAAAATACAAGATTTAATACACCAAACAGAAAAAACCCAAAAAACTGGGAAATGACAACACTCCAAACCCAAACACAATTGACCAATAACAAGAAGAGAGCAGCATGGGGTTAAAATACACACGGGTGAAACACAGTTGAGGATTGGCCACGATGAAGGCAAGACGGCCAATCAACGCTGAAAAGAACCAACATATAAAACAAAAATAACAAGGTAAAAGTCATGAAAAAGTCCTTTCTGTGACAGTTTGATCTTTTGTCTCGCAGCTACGTCCACTACGTGTTCGATCTCGGCAACGGCCCGTCTCTGATGAAGGGGAACTCGGACAAGCCGCTCAACGACAACCAGTGGCACAACGTGGTGGTGTCCCGGGACGCTAACAACGTGCACACGCTCAAGATCGACTCGCGCACCGTCACGCAGCACTCCAACGGCGCCCGCAACCTGGACCTCAAAGGTACGGCATAACCCCCTGTACCTGTGCTCGCTGAAATGTGCCTGGTTTTAACTGTTGGGCTAGCCTGGTCTTTGTCATCCGTAAACTCTGGTCCATTATCATTTCCTACATGTACGTCTGGGTTTGATCTTAGTGTCTGCAGTTTTCTTGGTTGAATCTCTTCCGACCAATCAGTGAGCGGGGGAGGCGAGTGTTGTGGAATAGTGTTTTTTGGCGTGCCTTGATACGTTGTTTGGTGTAGCTATCAAAATTATCCAATATCACCTAATTGGTCAAAATAATGTTAGATGAAGAAGATTAATAAGATTTTTTTGATTGTGTCTGATTTTCTACATTTAAAGCTGCACTAACTGAATTTGAGACATTTTCAAATGAGAACGATGAGCTCGCGTCTTATAATATGGACACATTTGAACGTGGATGGTGTGACCATAGAATGATTGAACCGAGAAGCGCGGAGAGGACGAAACTTTCTTTTGAATGGCTGTTTCGGTGTGTAAGCAGTAAACGGTAACGAAGACACGGGAGATTTCAGGTTAGCCTCCGCCGCTTGTTTACCTCAGCTGTCTGTGCTAACAAGAGACCTGTGGCTTTTCTCAAGAAAGTGAGGGCCAGTGGTCCGCTGTGATTGGTCACAATCGGGACCCAAAACAAATTCTCTTCCTTGTTTCACGAAAACTATCGATCTAAAATTAAATGACACGCCAGCACAAATCTGCGCTACGTTTTCTTCAAAAGGACGTATATCCCAATGCACTGTATGGATATGGATTGAATTCTACAAAATTAATACAAAAATGTAGTCAATTCGGGCGTTCTGCTCTCCCAAAATTCCATCCGATGGGCGGGGGAGCGACTGAATTTTGCGTTGCATTATGGGTAACACTTGCCTTCGCAACTTCCGGTTCTCTCTGCCCGGCGCATTTTCTCTAAATGGTTGAGTGTTTTTGTCATTTTCTGTATGCAAATACATTCCCGTCTCTAACTAGTGGCATATCGCGCAAATCATCCGTACAATTCACATTCTTCCCTCTTAGCTGAACTTCATTCTCATTGTTACCATCTGTCACTTGCACACACAGCCGTTTTCGTTCACTCTGCTCGCTGTCATCTTCTTCTAAATCTTCATAAACACCATCCGCTCGTTGAACTAGCAACAACAATTCCTCCTTTCGTTTTCCCACACTGCAAATACCCTTTCGCTTCAACCTTTCACGCAATTCAGGCACTGTCAATCGTTTGTTGTTTTCGTGAGCCATATTTGCCATTGTATGAAATCAACCGGAAGTGAACTGGGCAACAAACGGTGTCATTTTTTGATCACAGCGCCGCTCAGTGGATGAAATTTTGGGAGAGCAGAACGCCCGAATTAGTGCAGCTTTTAACACACCTTAATGAGAATGACTTTGCATTGTTTATAAAAGCTGCAGAGTTTAATATTTGTATCAGTTTCAGCTGGTGGTGATTGTTTTCAATGAATAAGGTGTGCCACGGCCCAAAGATGTTGGGAAACACGGTTGTAGCAGACGTAATCGTTTGGACATCTTCAGACCATGTTAACTCTAAACCCACAGATGATATTATAGCTATACATTGTAATAGGGGTTAGGCAGTATAAGTTGCAACTAAACCTCTTTCGGTCAGGCATTGTTTCACACTAAGGTCCTTCATGGATACATTTTGTTTTTGTTTTCTTGTTGTAAAATGTAAATGTGATCTCTGAAAAGGTGTGACCTGAGATCTGGTGTAAATATTGGCCAAAGAAAATACACTACTACTACTATTACTAAATTATCAAATGGTTGAGATGCAGTTTGATGGTAGAGTAGAAGAGGTAGATTTCAGTTCCTTACAAGTTTCAAGTAGAAATAGTGACTCAAAAGTGATGGTTGAGGAAACTATTACAGGTTTAACTCAAAAATTCACACATTTTCTCTGACTACTTTTTCCCGACTCAATCAAAATTCACCCATTTTTAAAGCTACATACTATACTATTCTTCTGTCACTCGTTTTGGCTGGAGAGGGTCGGCTGGAGCGCCATCTCCCAAAACCCACCAATGAGAAAAGCCTCTTAATCTTCACTTTGACGGTTTCTCCTTTTGTTTGCAGCGAATAGGTTCCTTAAAGTTCTTTGATTGAAAATGCATTACTCTCTCTAGGCTTGTTATGTAAGAGTGTGATGTTTGAGAAAAGGCCGATACTCGCTGAATTAAGATGAATGTGCAGAGGTCTGGGTTTCGTTTGGAGGAAGTCGTGTCTGTAAGCCTGAGGTGGGGGACCACAGCACCCCTGAAAGATGGGGAAATTTCAGTGTTGCAGGTTACACAACAGTAAGAAAGAAGAGCACTCAACACAAAAGAAAAGAAAAACCCGCAGAGACTGGTCAGGTGTACAGGGTGGCGAGTAGGTGGGGAGCTGCTACTGTAGCTGTAAATCCGGGACTGAGGCTGTAGATCCAAGACTGAGGCTGTAGATCCAAGACTGAGGCTGTAGATCCAGGACTGAGGCTGTAGATCTAGGACTGAGGCTGTAGATCTAGGACTGAGGCTGTAGATCCAAGACTGAGGCTAGGACTGAGGCTGTAGATCCAAGACTGAGGCTGTAGATTCAGGACTGAGGCTGTGGATCCAAGACTGAGGCTCTAGATTCAGGACTGAGGCCGTAGATTCAGGACTGAGGCCGTAGATCCAGGACTGAGGCTGTAGATCCAGGACTGAGGCTGTAGATCCAGGACTGAGGCTGTAGATCCAGGACTGAGGCTGTAGATCCAGAAAGCCAGTGCAGAGACCTGAGAACTGGACTAATGTGAAGGTACTTTCTGGTTCTAGTCACGACAGTCTTATCACATCTGTCAGGAGAGACACATTCAACACAGAGCATTTGTGATTGAGAACTGTGTTGAAAAAGTTTTGCATTTGCCCAATTTTTTCTCAATCCGTCTCAGTCACAAATCAAATCAATGCCAAAGAAACTCACTGACAACATTTTAAGTTTGCGCAGAAGGAAAAATTCCATTGTTCTCGCACACACAGCGATGATGAATGCCGAGATTGAAAAGCCTTCTGTCCCATTTAACCAAAAGCCACCATGCCGCTTCCAAATACCATTCTCTTCCCATGCTAATGAGTTTGGCGGTAAACTAGTAACCGCCTCATTCAGTTCGGACCGTGGAAAAAAAACACATGCACTTGTTTAGGGCTGTAAAATAATAGTTTTTATTTATAAGGTCTATCAACGTTGCATGGCGGCGTATGGGTTTTTAATAATATCCTGAATATTTTAGCGCTCCTTGCTGAACCCTACAGCTATCGCACCGTTTGATTGGCAGGAAAATGGTTATTAAATTATAGAGATTATACAGAGAAATGAGCGAGAGAGAACAGTTTACCGTTCTGTTCGGTAATGTGGGAATATAGGCAGGGTCAAAGTTGCCCACTGGACGAATTATTAAACTACAATTTGTGCATGAATATTGGCTGATTTATTTTACAACGTTGGGTGAAATGCAGTTGAATATAAATGATTTCTTTGCCTTTTAGCGCCAAACCTGGGTTCATTTATTACAACGGTCTCTCACTGTAATATAATTTGCTGTTATCTGTCACTGTTTTGCAAATCTTTTGTCTTCTTTTTAACCTGCTAGCTTCATTGAGACCTGGCATGTTCAAACTAAGCGGCAACCACAGCCCGCAGTATCATTTTATATGGCCTTGTGCCTTGCTAACCCAAAAAATCATTGAGATTAAATACACAAATTCATAGTTTTATCCAGCCAACTTCTGCTTTTCCAATACAAGCATGTTATACCACATTGTAAAGCTTGGAACAGTGTTTCATCAATTTATTACTACATTGGTTTTTCATATGGTTCGTGGTACATGGTATGGAGAGATTTGTGTTTGATTTTGTTTATGTGCTTGATGTTAGCCTGTGTCTCTGTATTTGTGTAAATGGTGTCTTATAAGTAAGTAAGTAAGCAATGTTTATTTACATAGCGCATTTTACAGACTAAGGTCACCCAAAGCGCTTTATAATGTTCAGAGTTCAGATATTGTTCCAATCATTCCACACACGGTGATGACAGAAGCCCATGTGGGCTGGGCATCCTTGTATGCAAGACACTATAATAAAAAAATATCTATCTATCTAGGTACAAAAACATGGCTCTGATGTAGCTAGAGAAATCTTTTCAACTACTTGTGTAAATAGTGCTGCCTTTGACACTGTCGACCATGAGATCCTCTTACAGAGACTAGAGGACTGGGTTGGAGTCGCTGGCACCGCCCTAAGTTGGTTTAGGTCTTACCTTGAGGACAGGAAGTACTTTGTGGAGATTGGAAACTGTGTCTCAGATCATATGGCCCTGACCTGTGGAGTACCACAGGGGTCGATCCTGGGACCTCTTCTGTTCAATCTCTACATGCTGCCGTTAGGTCAGTTAATACGCAGAAACGAATTTTCCTATCATAACTATGCAGACGACACTCAGATCTATGTCTCACTGACTGCAGGAGAACATGGACCAGTGGACTCACTCCTTCACTGTATCCAACAGATCAGTGAGTGGATGCAAAACAACTTCCTTCAGCTAAACGCAGACAAAACTGAAATTATTGTCTTTGGTCCCCAGAAACAAAGAGAGAGCGCCATCTGTCACCTACAGTCTCTCTCCCTAAAACCTTCAAACAAGGTCAGAAATCTAGGGGTAATACTGGACTCAGACTTAAATTTTAATAGCCACATCAAATCAGTAACATCAGCAGCTTTTTACCATCTAAAAAACATTGCCAGGATCAAAAACATAGTGTCTAAAGCAGACTTGGAGATTCTTATCCATGCATTTGTCTCCAGTAGGTTAGACTACTGCAATGGCCTGCTCACAGGTTTGTCCAAACAGGCTGTAAAACAGCTGCAGTACATTCAAAATGCAGCAGCTCGAGTCCTGACTAGAACCAGGAAGTACGACCACATTAGTCCAGTCCTCAGGTCTCTGCACTGGCTTCCTGTGG